ACAATATGTTAATTGTCAAGGCATACCAATGAGATGGTTTATCTATCTCACTCAATATCTTCTCTTTTTTTACGTGTGTAGAATACGAACTATCAACGCGAAATTAATTTATCAAATCACAAGGCAAAAGTTCATTATTCACGTGAATTAGAAATAGTTAATACAGTAACACAAAATGCCAAATCACCTCAACGGAGAACCTCAAACACCTTGAAAGAACTTTAAAGAAATCGACGTGATTAAACCTCGCTATAAATTAACTTTGTACAAGATTTGCTTACTCGTTGGTGAATACGTCATTTCTATTGACCGCTGATCTGATCCAATCACAAATACATAAATAATCTATAATTGCAAAATAACTTTTTTTTTTTTTAATAATAAATTCAGTCACTATCTCAAATTTCCTTATTTATCATTTTTCAGATTTTGTAATTAGACTATTTGTATATTTGTGATTAAACGACATAAGTGGTTAGTAGGACTGACACACTCACTGGTGAATAGACAAATCTTGTTCATTAATTTTTATGTTAAATAATAGAATCGTGTTCAATTTTATTTTTAACTCGTTTAATAAATGAATCAATATATTTTGAATAATAATTTTGTAAGAAAGTGCCTATATGGTCGGTTGTCTAAACTTACCAACAAAAATGGTGATATAGATTACTTGACTTTCTTTTTATTTTATCCTATTCCCAAGTTTGAATTATTCAACCTTAGTTTGAATTTGAAATTGGTGTTAAAAAATATATATATATATAATAATAATAACTAGGATCGAAACTTACAAGAAATATCAAAATAAAAAGTTTTTGAATTTGATTATTCAGCTCAAACCTAAACAAATCAAAGTTTGGTTTGGCTAATTTGTGGGGTTACAGGTCTGCGTGGGAACAGAGTCCGACAATTAAAATTTGTAGTGTTTGGAGACGAGTACGACGACTCCTCATATGCGTTGAACACAATCCAGTAATGGCGTATAATGAATGCACGCGCAAGTCAAAGTTTTGCATGGTTGGAGCCACGTGTCCTAATATGTGATGCACCTGGAAACATCATCAAAAGATCACATAGTAACCCACATTCTAATTGTGTGCTTCACGTGGGCAAAAACACACACATTCATTAATCAACTACTAATATTAATCTTTTACCAATTAGGTTGTGTTGGTTTAGATATAAAATATTTTTTTATTTTTAAGTGTTTAATTGTCGTAAAATATATAAAGAAAAAAAATATTAAAATTTAACAAAAATAATTTATTCACTAATTTTCGATAAATTATTTTACCTGCATTATTCGATGGACTCGACCTGAAACTTGATGTAAATATTTGTTAAACATTAAAAAATAAAAAATAAAAAATATTTTAACTGAAAAAAAAAAAATTCAAAATAAATATTTTACATCGAAACAAATTGAGCATAAGTGGGAAAGCCAATGACAAACTATGATCAATTAACACTTTCAGAAAAAAAGAAACTGTTTCTTTAGCTAGTGAATCATTGAAGGAACGAAAGCAACTGAGCAAATTGGAATTAACGAGAGAGACAAAGAAGATATTATTTAAATTTGGTCAAATTGCACAAAAAGTTTCAAAATATACTCCTATACAATTTTTATTTATTTATTTATTTTTAAAAACAAACACTTTTAATTTATCAAAAGTTGTAAATTACTTCGTTGAAATTTTAGTATTAAAATAGTCATGTATAAATAGTCAGGTGTGTTACACGTCATGATTTTTTTTTCCCTTACCCATTCAACAGATACTATCTTAAACGTCTGATTTATTTATAAAAACAAGTGTCAAAGTTAAAATTGCAAGCACAAGGATATTTTCATAAAAGCAATAAGTTGATTTGTTGCACATCTGGCTAGCTTGCACACAGATTCGGAGCCAGGATTTCAACTGGGGGCAGAATAAATACATGACCAATAAACTAAAATGCTCATTGAATGCACGAAGAAAACTGTGCAAATTGGAATTGATTGACGAGAGAGGCAAAGAAGATATTATATAAATTTGGTCGACTTGCACGAAAAGTTTCAAAATATCTCGTTAATTCCAATTTGCACAGATTTTTTTCGTTACTTCAATGATTCACTAGCTGAAGAAACGATTTCTTTTTGGCTTAAAGTGTTAATTAATCATAGTTTCTCGTTGGCTTTCCACTTAATTTGTAAAAGACAATTAGAATAGTGAATAAGTACATGATTAATGTATGTGTGTGTTTTTGCGCACGTGAAGCACACAATTAGCATGTGGGTTACTATGTGACATGTTGGTAATGTTTCCAGGTGCCTCGCATGTTAGGACACTTTCAATTTTTCAAAAGTTGTAAATTACTAGTTGAGTAGTGAAATATAGTATTAAAGTAATCACGTGCGTTACACGTGGCAACATAAGCTTTTTTTTTTTTTTTTAGTTGTGCAACAAACACTTTCTTAAATGTCTCATTTATTTATAAAATGAATAATGATAAGGAGACTGATGAATTAACCCCGAATAAGTATCGAATTTGACGTGTTTTTGTCCACATCATCTATTTAAACAGTTTTCAAAAATAATATTTTAACACGTGATAAGAATGATTAACCACATCAAATTCGATAATTTCTTTTCGATTCCCCTATCATTACTCTTATAAAATTAATTGTCAGTGATAAAAGTGCAAGCACAAGGGTATTTTCATCAAAACAATAAGTTCATGCGTTGCACATCTGGTTGGCTTGCAACCCCGAATAAGTATCGAATTTGACGTGTTTTTGTCCACATCATCTATTTAAACAGTTTTCAAAAATAATATTTTAACACGTGATAAGAATGATTAACCACATCAAATTCGATAATTTCTTTTCGATTCCCCTATCATTACTCTTATAAAATTAATTGTCAGTGATAAAAGTGCAAGCACAAGGGTATTTTCATCAAAACAATAAGTTCATGCGTTGCACATCTGGTTGGCTTGCTCACAGAAGTAGAGTCAGGATTTCAATTAGGGCCGAATTTTAGCAGGCATTATATATATATATATATATATATAAGAATAAAAGAAAAATTAATTATATATTGTGCCCTTGGACACACACGGACTCCACTCCTGCTTGCATGGTGACCACTTTAATACTATAATTCTAACGTTCGGCTCTCAGAGAATAGTTTGCAGCTTTTAACAAAATGATAATGCCTATTGCTAAGAGGATGTTTTATAACTTTTTGATAGTATAAGAAGATTTAGTACAAATTGACCTATGAATTAAATAAAAGTATGTAGAACCCTCATTTTCCACACTAATTCATTATTTTTTAAAAAAACTGTGACATTTGAGCTAACACACAAACACAAAACTTTATATTATATATAGAAAGTTAGCAGTATATCATACCAAAACAAAATAGATTTTCATTATCTAATGCATCTTCATATGGGGGCAAACTTGGGATTATTGACAAAGACTACTTCAGAGTTCAGTTATGCCACTAATTAATGGATTAACTTGTCTGATACAGATCTAGTTAGCTCATTTATTGAACCCAAGCTGTCACAGTGGACATCTAAGTGATACACAATTTGGATTTCTCTTAATATTTTAGTCTTTTAATAATCAAATATGTGATCTCAGTATTTGGTGAGTCAGCTATATTTATTAGTAAGGTCACTCCTGTTGGGTAAGCAAACCATTTTCTTTATTTGTCTTTTTATTTATTAAATATAAAGATGTAGCAAATCGCCAATCGCCAATCGCAATGGTATGTTTTTCTACCTAACCTTCAAAAAACAAAAGCCTAGGTATGTTTTTCTAATCCGAACGAATATGAAAAAAGAAAAAAGAAAAAAGAAAAAAATCCAAACAAATATATGAAAGCCCAGATAAGAGGAGACCGTCCGTATAGTCCATTTCTTTTAAATAAAATGCCCATCGGGCAGCCTGCAGGCCCATTAACAGCTAGGCCCATAAAAGTGTTTTTTTTTTCTTTTTTAGGTGTCTCAGAGGCCACGTATGGGCTTCATAATGCACGCAAAATTAAAGTCAGGAGTGCGATTCGAAAACGAGACCTTAAGGACTTACCTCCTAAATTTCTACCAACTCCCCTACGCCCCTGGGGCAGGCCCATAAAAGTATAAAAAGTTATCATACTCTTACAATTAATAAAAGTAATAAAACTTATTTTATAATTATTGAATTTGAGATTGAAAGAAATTTAATTCAATTACGAATTCGGTACTTTCAAACATAATATAATATAATATTTATATTTATAGGAGCAAATATTGACACTCCCATTCCAAGTAAATTTATTCAATTAAAATAAAATGATATAAGTACCTCTAACACATAAATATGAAAAATATTTATTAGGAATATATTTGTCATTTACGTTTTTTTTTTTTTTTTTAAAAAAAAGAAAGAAAAAAAAGAAAGGAAAAGGAGTGCATTTACTATGATTAACCAGTTGATTCCCTCCCCTACTTGTATTGCTCATTTTTAATTTTTCTCTCTGACGACAAATCAATCCTCTTCTTTGTAACACAAATTCAGTTAATTTTTAAATGCATCAAATGCTAATCTATTTAAATATGTTTAATAATGAAATTTGTATATAACTTCAAAATTTAAGCACGGATTTGGAATTGTATAAAATTTTAAGAGATTATTAAATCACTTGTCTCTAGTGCTAAACACTTCAAATTAAAAAAAAAAACATAAAATTATTATTTTTATTACTGGTTAAACTTGATTTTCTTTTTAAAAATTTTATCAAACAAAATATACTAATGCATCAAATCAGTAACTTGAATTTGATACATAATATAATTGCGTTTCTTACAAATTTACAAAAATCAAAATAGTTAATATTACTCATAACTAATATGTAATAAATAGTGGATAAATTTAAATATAGTCCCATTCATTGCATCAAAGATAGAAACCCCTCAGATTTGGGCCTACAAATAATTTTACATTTGCCTTTCATTTTAGACTATTATTCGAGAGGGAAGAGAGTGTGGAAAGAATACGAAATGGTGGCAACAAGCGATGAAGAAATGGAGTCGCTGCTCTCCAGCTTCGATCAGATATACGACGTATGTAATATATGTAAATGTATGTATATATATATATATGTATATATGTATATGCTTCCTTTCATGATTTCTCTCCATCATTTCACCCTGATAATATAAAAAATCAATTCTCAAATCAGGATTTCAAGATTGGAATCACGCAGATCCAATTGTTGCAATCGAACTGTAATGCCGAAATTAAGAACCGAGAAGTACTTGAATTCACTGCTAACAGCCTCAAATCAGGTCAGTACACCTGTTTGAATTTATCTTTATCACTTAGGCTTGTCTAATTGCATCTGCATTGTTATCCGTTTGGTTCCCGAGAAAAAAAGGTCGGAAAAAGGAAAACTATTTTTTATTATTATTTTTAAATGTGAAAAGATTTTTCGTAATTTTGGACGAAATATCATTAATTTTCACAATTAAATTAGCCTAGCGCAACAACTATTAAGTTTAGGTGAAGCTGAAATCTATCATTATATTTTCTTTCCTTAGTTTTCTTCCTAACCAGAGGATTGGTGCTCTGTGAATTCCAATGATAAATTATCATCTAAAGGGCTATAATAGTATGATGAAACATGTTGTGAGTCTTGTTGCTCGTGTTGTTTTGCTATGCAAGTGAAAAAAGTTGATTCACTTATAGCCAAATATGATGTATATAGGTTATGTAGGGCATGTTCCATAATCCATATAACAGCAGAAATGTTAGATTTTAATTCTTTTCCGTTTTACATATTTTCGGCTTCCAAAAGAAGAGCATTACTGTAGGATATTTCATTTTGCTATTCAAATCCCATCAATTTTTGTTTGCAGAAGCTAGTTTGAATACTCTGATGATGATGAGGTTTTAACCAATGATTCAGTGCGGAATTTAGTCATTAAATGATAAGTAATGTTTTGAAATATAGAGGTTGTTTTATCATTTGAACAGCATAAAATTGGGAAGAACTCTCATGATAGAATTTTTAACATCAACTATTAGAATTGTAGCAGATGGATGGATTTATTTGAAAATATTCCATCAAGTTTACTTTGCAATCGTTTCTTTCAAGCACAGTGAACAAACACAGTTTTGCAGATTCCGATAATCCGACATTTGTGACAAAAGTTTTAACTAAAAAGTGTAGTGCATTGTATTATAATCAAATTTTTTTTTTGAAGGATTTAAGTGAATCAAATTTCTTAATGATTTTGAACATATCAAGATCTGTGCAAAATGGAATTAAATAAATTCAGATACATATACTTACATATATATATATATATTTATATATATAAAAAATAGATGTGTAAAATATATATTATGAATCTCTAATAAACGAGTTCGATAGCACATATAAGGACACCTATCGAACTCGTTTATTAGATGAACATAGACATTCTTGGATTAGATATTCTTAGCATATTTATCAATCATCCCATATATTTAGTTGATCTGATACATATAACCATCTATTTGATTTCTTTTACAATTATAAATACACAATTTCAATTTGGAACACATCGAAAAGAAAAACTTCAATTTGGAACACCATATGGATAGCGACATGTAGGTCAGCACTAGGATTGGAAAATTGTGAGCCCTATAAACAAGTGATGAAGTTTTGCAGCATGTATATTCTAAGTCTCCCTTCTCTCCAAACAGAAGCACACCCACACACAAACACGCAATCCCTTCCGTTCACAGCACTGTCCTTTTCTTTCTTGGCTATTCCATACTGTTGCTGAATACACAATGCCTTCTAGCATTTCTGCTTTTCTTTATATTTGTACTTCTCTGGAACTCTAGTGTGAAACGATGGGAGTGCATTTTTTGGAAACAAAATTGCAAATTGGTAGATTGTGAATGCCTGAATTGAATTTGTGCTTTTGTTAGTCATTTTGGGATGGAGTATTCTTTTTATGAACCCTCAACATTGCTGTGAGCTCCAATTTAAGTTTTGATGGAGGGTCATTCGATGCTTAGACCACTGATTGTTTGCTTGCTGTGACATATATATTTTCACCAGTTTTGGCCTTTTCTTGCTCTTACAGTGATATTTTTATAAGTTTTGGCCTTTGGAAAATCTGGCACCATTATTCTTTCTTTTGAGCAGCACATCTTTTCTTAGTCTATTTGCAGACAGGCAGACGTCTTATACAGTGGAAACAATTTTTTATCCATTTCTATTGTTACTACACCCAAAATATATTTTCTGGAAAAAGAAAGCACCTACTTTGTCTTCATTTTGCTTGCTTACCCGCAGCTTACATTTCCAAACTAATATAGAATATATCGTTATATGTAGACAATGAGCGGCTGACAAAGCTGTACATAGAATCACTTAACAAACTGGCTGATCAGGTTTGCAATGAATGATGAGCTCTTTCCTTTTCTTTCTAATCCTAGACATAATTTTTTTATCAAATAGTTAAAGTATAAAATTAGCTAAGACCCACTTTTGTCATGGCCTTCTACATTCGTATTCTTATTTTATTCAGTTTTGTTGAATCATTTCCATGAGATAACAGCTTGTCTGCCATACAAGTTACCAAAGCTTGAAAGGGGAACTGGAGAGAGTTAGAGATGAACAACTCAGCAAAGCAAATGTAAGTCCTTCTGTAATATAATGGAAGGATTTGGTGCATGCATGTATGTGTCTCACACTAGGAAAGGCGTTGAGGATTCAAATGAAGGAAAAGATAAGAGAGAGGAAAAGACGAATCCTTTCATAATTTTTGGTTGGTGAATGTGAAGTATTATCTATTGAGGATGAAAATATGTGGTATGATCGAGTGCACTAGCAATTATTGTCTCATTATATTGTAGTTGCTGCGCTGAAGAAAAGTTACAATTTGCAAGCAGGAACACACAAATGCAATGGAATCACTCAAACAAGTTCAAGCAGCAAAGATTAAAGACTTGGAGACTCAGATCAGGTCAGTTTCCAATGGTGGAAAATGTCGCTCTTTTAATATATTCTCATGCTAAGCTCAAATTTGTCTCGTGTCAGAGGATTTCTGCTTCAAAAAGCAGCAAATGAATCTACCATAAATCAGCTCCACCAAGATTTAGCTGCTCATAAGACCCAAGTTGAAACTTTAAGGTGCAGGTTGGAAGGAGTTCAGTTTGATATGGAATGCAGATGTGAGATCTCAAGGAAGCTTATTTTGAATTCTCAAAATCTCAAACGACATTTTATTCTATTGGAACTGTGAATAAATCGATCTGTTGTTATTTTGTGACAGATCAACATGAGATTCAGGATTTGAAGGACTGTCTCCTGATTGAACAAGAAGAGAAGAATGAATTAAGCAAGAAGCTCCAAAATCTGGAAAAGGAATGTGAGTTCAATATCAATGCAGACTGCTGTTATCTTTTATCATGTATTTACTTTCCTCATTACCGGATCAACAAGTTTATGCAATTCCAGTACACATCTAGAGACTAGAATTAAAATGTTCAATAATTAATAAGCTCGTTTAGATAGAAACACTATTGATCTTATAGGAATGCCCTTATTCTTTTTCTGGTACATTGCAGTGCTTATTAGCAGAACGAAGCTGGTTGAACACCACCGAGACCTGACTTCAAATCGAAATGTTGAAACACTCAAGCAGAAGATTATGAAGCTAAGGAAGGAGAATGAGGTCCTTAAAAGAAAGCTAATTGGTATAAAAGAGGGCTGACGTGTTCTGATCGTAATGTTGACTCAGAGGTTAGTATCCAAACATGTTGCTAACTTTGTTGCTGTGCTCCTGTGAACGAATTTTCTGCAAGTACAATCAACGGACCACATTTAAATAGTTGTACAGCTTAATTCAAGAGTCTAAATGATGATTGGATTCTGTTAGATCACTCTGTGGAACCTGAACAATTAGTTACGGAAAACTTTTGCCAACTTCTTTGTAAATCAATCTTACTACTGCAACATCAATGTATTTTTCATTGTTATGCCAAAATTACCTGGTAGCTCGAGTTAAGCAGGTGCTTCCAACACTAATATCAGAGCACTCAACGCTTCCGATCGAGCTGCTTTGGCTATTTCAGTGAAGAAGTTGAACACAATTAATCGCGATATTTGAGGTGAGTCGTTATGTGATTGTTGGAATTGATTTTGTTGCTAAATGATGATTTCAAAGGTTCAAGTCTTAATAGAGGCATGTGTCTGAGTACCAACTATGAAAAAAAAAAAAAAAAATAGTCAAAATTGTTGTTAGATAATGAATTTTGAATCTCTCGTGTGGAGGGATTCTCGTACTTCCATCTTGTATTTCTAATGTAGCGCGTTATATCGTAGTGTATCAGCATGAAATGAAATATTATTAAATAATAATGTAGCATAATTATTGTATAAGCGATGTGAAATTGTTGTAGGAATGATAATAGGAAACAAAAGAAGCATAGGATGAAAATGACTAAGAAAGCAATCTCTCATGTAATCCACCAAGCATGCAACTCCATGCAAATTTCAAGTAAGCCAATATAAAATCCCTCTATTTTGTATATATCTAAAAACATTAAATTAATGACAGGATAAATAATAGAATCTAGTACTATCTCTTGAAAAAACGTAATAGGTTTTAATTATTGATTTTTATCATTATTTTAATAATAAAAAAAGAAGTGATAGGGTTTGCGCCAGCAAAAAGAATCCATGTTGGGAGACTGAAAAGGATAAGAGAGAGAATTTGAAGACAGCGAATAAACTTTAGTGTCATTGTGTCTGGTGTGAGAGAGTTTAATAAGGAGTGAGGAGTCCAATCAATCCTCAAATAAATGAATATATATTAGATACGGTAAAAACTTTTGTAGATTGGTTCATCAAAATCGATGATTTTAGTTAGTAATTCCATAAAATGAAAGCTTAAAAGATGTTTTAGTACTGTTGGGTAAAAATATTTTAATTTTATTTTGAATAGTAATTAGCTTACAAACACCTATTCCACCCTGAATACACTGTGAGGCTTCAAACCTCTATTTGACGCCACACATTGGAGCACTTGTGATACAGCATTATATATATATATATGGTCTGATTAAGATTAAGATTAATAAAAGACTAAATGAGTACCTAAATTATATTCTATAATTTTAACCATTTGTTGTTAAGAACCGACAGTAACAGATATGATAAAATGATATGATAAAATAATTAGATAATTAATCATAGGATTTACGTGTGTGTGTATATATATATATATACACACACGTACCTTAATCTATTGATGGATGACATGTCTCCCAGCCTGCCCTTGTGCATTATGTTTTCATTTGGTGGCGATGAGTCTATTCTAAATCCAACAACCACACAAAGGCATGCTGAGCAGCCTGTCAGCATGTGTGTGTGTGTATATATATATATATATCAATATGTATAATCCAAGCAGTAATCAAAGTAAACGTTTCGAGGGTGGGCTCGTGTACATGAATTCCATGGTGGAAGAGGCCCAATAAAAAAATTCAAAAAAAAAAAATTGTAGTAAAAGGTGAATACTACTAGTCTGGAATGTGTATGAATTATGAGGTGAGTTTGTAAGCTTTCGTCGAGTCATACCAGTAATGAGAGAGTGCAGTGGAATGGGACAAACAGGACCACCTCTGCATTACAACTACATCACAAGAAATAAGGCTCAGTTTTCAATTATTTGGATTTTTTTGTCATTAATCTCTGCCAAACATATTATTTTTATTTTAAAAAAATATTATATGGAAAAGAAAATGGTCGTATTTGGCCTAATGTCCAGGAAGAAAGAAAGTAGAAGAAAAAGAATAATTTCACTCCTTGATTCTTACATTTAGGGAGATAACATAGGAGAGAATGGATAAAAAAAAAGGTAAAAAAATGAAAATTTCGTTCCTCTTAGTCATTAAGTCCTTATAGCTTTCAAGGACAAATTCATTGGGCTCCGTGATTATGAGATTTAGAAAGAGTCACCTCCATACATAGAGAAGTTGTTTTCTTCAAACTCGTAATCTTCAAATTGTAATATTAAAACAACATTAAATTTTATTTTATTATTATTATTATTTTTTTTTCAGAAAGTAAACAATGTTAAAGTTGCACCAAGGGTCGCCCTTAAGTCCATGTCAACTCTATTAAATTAAATTCCCTCCATTAAATTTTAAAAAATGAACAAAGAAGGCTTGAATTCACTGTTAAGATATGAAATTTCAAAAATGCCATTATCTCTTCTGATAATGCCCTTATATGTATTATTCTTAAATATATATATATATACACACACATTGAACAGATGCATGTAAGTTACTGTCTTCGTTAATAAGAACATCGCCGCAAGACATATCAAGTTGTCATCGCTGTTTTACTGTTGATAGTTTAGATATGCAGCAGTGATAACGAAGAAGAAACTCAATAATAATAATAATAATAATAATATAGTTATTTTACATTTAATTAATTTTTTATTTAATTATGAAAGGAGACTTTCCTCTGTTAAACATTCAGGTCGTTATCTGCTTTAAAATTAAATGTTGACCTTTTTATAAAACTCAGCTTTACATTTTGCTTTAATTTATTAAAGTGTATTGATTGGTCTTGTCCGATGTAAGAATGTACTCATTACATAGTAGTGTGAAAGGAAGAAATGAAGTGGGGCTAAAAGAAAAGACAAAAATAGAAGAATTATTGAATGATCAGTGAACAAAATTAAGTATCATGATTAAATCATGTTTACCTTGGTGGGGGCCCTAAATGTCTCTTTTTTGGTGGTTTTGATTTTCATCATTCCACATTTTGTTAACCAACATCCAAACAAGAAAAAAAAAACCAAATCTCTTTAAACTCAGCCATGCCAATCTATTAATTCATAAAGTCATACTGTTTATTCCAACTAGAGGAACATTTATTCTCACCTTTAAACCTCATAATATAATGTTCCAATAATTTGGGCCCCACCCTTTTAGAGCAATCCACATCCCATCCCTAATAAAAGGTTTTTTTTTTTTTTTTTTTTTTTTTTCAATACTTCATTTTATCGATATGAGTGTTCTATACACCAAAAAAAAAAAAAATAAATAAATAATAATAATAATAATAATAATAATATTCATTTTGAAATCATTTCTCTGTTAACATAGTGGTAGAAAGAGTACTATATTGCGTCAAGACTTCAAACAGCTTAACTTTAACCATGTTTAATTGATAGAAAATTAAAGTAGATTTACCAAATAAATTACGAAATGCTACAATTTTTACATATGATTTCTTAATTTATTCCGAAGTAATTCGCGAAATCATGCACATTTCTTTTCTAGTTATAGCGGAAAAAATATAGCTGGTCAGATCTAGCCTATTCTTGAACAAAAATTTTGAAATTTTTATAAAGCTATTTTTGAATGAAAAGAGATACTTTTGTCAAATTGAAAAAAGTTAAAGTAGCACTTATTCGCGCACTAACTAAATTCTTTTCGGCTATTTGATTCTAGGAAAGGTTAATGGCAAAAGGTAAACTAGACGATTTATATGACTTTGACTGCAAAAGTTGCTATAATTCAAATATTCCAGCTGATCAAAAGGTTAGCTTTTGCATGAAAACCCTATTTTGATGCATGCTTACTACTTTTTGAAAAACCAAAAAGTCCTTTTTTACTAAAAACATATGTGTATTCGGTGCAAAGCACATCATACTTGGTTAATTTGTTTGACTTTTAAAAATTCGAAAGATACAAATATATATCATTCAAACTATAAATTCGAACCGTTAATTCTGACCAAATCATTAGTTGATTTTCCGTAATCTCAGAATCATGTAATAATTTGTCATCAAGAATACTAAACACAAAGTATTATTTAAATGGTTACTCAATCCTAATTTTTCTTGGTTAAGCATGACGTGAATTTATGCGTTAGGATGTAATAGCATCTAAATATTATGATTATCTGAAAAAAGAGGGTTGAAAATGTCCTACATGTGTACTCAAACATCTCACATAAAACATGTAAAGAATGCCATAAAAAACAAATGGTAGTAGTTACCATCATATTGCTAATAGGTGATATAAATCCAGACATATTAAATATTCAAACTGGTTTCAAGTATTTAAACCTTTGTTAATCAATTAAAAACCCAATTATTGTCTACCAAAACCTGAAAAAAAAAAAAAAAAATTTGAAAAAAAAAAGTTTTCAAGTGGGTAGTTGGAATAAGATGAGATTTTACAAGACAAAATGTTTTTGCAAGCACAGAGAGAGACAAAGAGAAGCTGAAAAAGAACCAATAATGCTATGTAGTACACACTGTGTTCCAAAAAAATAACACACTGTTTTTTTTTTTTTTTTTTTTTTTTGTCTTTTTTTGGGTACTTGGGAACAAAACGCTGTCTCTATATAAGGATTGGCGTGAAGGTTTTCTTTTCTTTTTCTCACTCTGGAAAACAAACCTTTACAAGTACTGCATTTATTTACATACAGAGAACAAAGCAAAAGCATAAACATGAGAAAGGTAAAACAAAAACAAAAAAAAAAAAGGGTGGGGACATTTTCTCTTTTTCATCTTTCATCACACTTTAGCTTCATTCCACCTTTTACCTTTACTACTTTATTTGAATTTGTGCAGCACTTTGTCTCTCCTTTTCAAGATTGATGAGGAAAAAAGCAGGCAACTTCTCTGAGTAAAAGTTTTGGGTGGTGGGTCCCAAATACGAAGCCCTTTTTCTGAATTTCATTTGCATCAAAAAGGAACTTGGTAGGAAAGTTGACAATAATACTGCCAAGACATTACTCCACAATGATTTTTCAACTTTGTTCTTATTTTTTTTTTTATCATCTGCATGCTTATTACTGTATCCAATTGAATTAGATAAAAAAAGGAATAGGTGTTTGATTGAAATTATTTTTGGCAGCAATATTTTTTTTTTATTTTTTTTTTTTCTGGCACCGGAACTCCCTTGGATAGGGCCCCTTAGATACCCACCCCAAGTTACAAACCGAAAATGCTATCGATGACTCTACACCTCAGCAACAATTTTAATCGGATTAATAAAGGAGGGGGAAGAGACTCGAACATGGGCCAGGGATAGCCCAAGCCAAGCCCCCTCCCATCTCAGCCAAGCCGCGGGGGCATTTTTGGCAGCTTTTCTTCATCCAGAGAGAGAATTCAACTAATGAATTAATACCAGCCACAAAAATTATGTTAACTGCATTGAATTTGGAATTGAAAAAAATTGAATGTAAATTTTGAACTAAATTCCGTGCTTTCAAACACAATATGATATTTAGGGCCGTGCGCATTTTGTTTTTGGTGTTTTTGTTTTTGTCGTGTACTGTAACAATGGACAGTGTAAAAAATAAGTTTGGTAAAAAATGTTTTGTTTTGCACAGTGGTGAAACGTTTTGTGAATAATGGCAAAAAATCAAAAACCTAAATTTGGTGTTTTTACATGTTTCAACACTGTAGCAACGGGAGTACTCTAGCGATGAACTAATCATATTTTTCAAACTTGCAACACTTTTTACCAAACATGTTTTCATATTTTTGCTTCAAAAAATCTTATAACAAATTAACGTTATCAAACACGTTTCTGATTACTATTCAAATTACTCTAGAACAAAATATGTAGTACTAACCATTGTTTTTTGCAATTTGTTTCAAATACTAATGATCTTTAAACAAATTATGACAGATATGAGGGAGCTATGGATGTATGCTGCACTCTAATGTAAACAAGGACTATAGAGAGAGAACAATGAAAAAGCAGTGAACAGCAAAAACAGTTTCTTTAAAGCACTTCCAAGTTCTCCAAAGTACTCCCACAAAAAAAAAAAAAAAAAAAAAAAATCCCTTTTTTTCCCCCTTTTTCTTATTTCAATTTCATTTTTTTTTAGCGAGCCTCCAAAATCATTCTATTTATTGCCATGTGAGTTGGTTTGGTGTCATTTAAACCTTGACACAGAGAGAAACAGAGAGAAAACAGTGTTGGGGTGGTTTCAAAGAAAGAGAAAAACACAAGATAAGAGAGAAGTTGAAAAGTCCTCAAGAAGACGAGTGTTTCTCACATAAGGGGGTGTTTGGGGGGTGGATATTGGCCAAGTAATGCGCACAGGAGCTAATACAGTGCACCAGACCTTCACACTAGAGGCTGCTTCAATCTTGAAGCACTCTCTCAGCTGGGCAAGGAGGAGAGGCCATGCACAGCTCACTCCCCTCCATGTCGCCGCCACTTTACTGACCTCGAAAACCAGTGTTCACTTAAGGAGGGCTTGTCTCAAATCTCAGCCTCACCAAACGCCACATTATCCACTCCACTGCAGAGCTCTCGAGCTCAGCTTCAATGTGGCTCTCAACAGGCTTCCCACAACCCCTTATCAACACCTCCACACTCAACCCTCGCTCTCCAACGCTCTGATCGCGGCGCTCAAGAGAGCACAAGCGCACCAGAGAAGGGGCTTCGTTGAACAGAGGCAACAGCAGCCTCTTCTGTCCATGAAAGTGGAGTTGAAACAGCTCATTTTGTCCATCTTAGATGACCCTAGTGTTAGTAGGGTCCTGAGAGAGGTTGGGTTCTCAAGCATTGCAGTGAAGAACAATCTAGAGTCCTATAGTAGTTTTGAGCCAACCCCATTTCGCTTTTTCCATCAAAACAAACACCCAAACAGCCTCATCACTGATTCAGCTTCTGTGGAGGAAGATATCAAGTTGGTTTTGGAGGTGGTGTTGAGGAAGAAGAGAAGGAACACTGTGATAGTTGGAGATTCTGAAGTCAGAACTGAAGGTCTTGTTGAAGAACTAATGAGTAGAGTGGAGAGAAAAGAAGTTCCAGAGGAATTGAAATCAGCCCATTTGATCAGATTTCAGTTTTCATCGCTACCGTTGAGATTCATGAAGAGGGAGGAAGTGGAAATGAACCTTTTAGACCTGAAAAGGAAGGTGGATTCCGTTGTATCAAGAGGAATGAGAGTCATTATATATATAGGAGACTTGAAATGGACACTTGATAGGACTGATTATGAGAAAGAGGGAGGAGGGTCCTCTGTTTATAGGGTGGTTGAGCATTTGGTTGCAGAGATAGGAAGGTTGGTGTGTGAGTATAGCAGCAGCTCAAGCACCATGAATGTTTGGTTGATGGGGATTGCAAGTTATCAGACTTACATGAAGTGCCAGATGAAGCAACCCTCTCTTGAGATTCAATGGGCTCTTCAAGCTGTTTCTGTTCCCTCTGGTGGGCTTGGTTTGAGTCTGCATTCTACCAGGTGAATTAGTCTATATTATTCTCTCTCTTTTTATTGAATATCAATTTCCACGATTATATATGCTGTATAGGTATACATATGCTCCATTTCTGATTATATATGCTGTATAGATATACATAGCTAGAAAAAATTATTCAATGTTTTGACCTTTTAGATATGGATTTTGGTTCAGAGTATTGTTTTAGTAGGACCTTTTTTGTATTTTTCTTTGTTTTCTTTTTAAAACTTCATAGCCAATCCATATATTTAGCTTGTTATTTATTTGTTTATATATATATATAATTTGCACTAATTGAATTTATTGTACTCATGTTTTGCAGTGTACATGAGTCAAGGATAAACTTCTCACAGAACCTGTCTCAAATGCCGGAAACAAAGCCATTTATCAACGACGACGAACAAGATAAACTTGTTTGCTGTGCAGAATGCACCTCCAATTATGAAAAAGAAGCTAGACTATTCAAATCAAGCCATCATCAAACACCTTCTTCACTGTGCCTAAGCTCTTGTAACACGAAGGAATTCGACGAATGTTCAACCCCATTGCCTTATTGGCTGCAATCACACAACATTAGACCACAGCAAAAGGTAAGAAGATTGATACGAAACCAGTTTCTATATGATTCTAGTGAATGTCAATCTATACGCAATGAATTATTGTTATACGTAAAATAGTTTATAATTGGAAATTCTCAACTCTTTAAGAAATTCTTACATTCTCTTTGAATTTCAGGATGATTTGGCAGAGTTGAGGAGAAAATGGAACAGAATGTGCCATAGCTTCCACCAGATGAATTCGACTATGAAACCCGACCAATGTGTGAATTCTCTGCCTCGTTTCCAACATCACGAGTCATGTCACAATGGACTAAATTTCAGTAATGGCAACCAAAAATGTCGGTTGACAGATCCAAACCTGAATTGTTTCGAGAACACAGAAGCCGGAGAAGTAAAGATCACGCTTGCATTCGGCAATTCTGTGTTCTTAAATAGAGAAAAGTTTGCAGCACTAGGGAATGAGAAGATTGTCCAACATGGGAAAGTATGTGAGCTAGAACGAGACGCGTCGTGGCATTCAGAAGTCGTTCCTTCAATAATAGAAGATTTGATCAACTCCAGATCAATCAAGAAGGATAGGTGGTTTCTGATTGAGGGTAATGACTCGGTAGAAAAAAGAAGATTGGCTAGTGAAATTGGAGAATCGATGTTTGGGTCTGCTGATTTTCTGTTGTTCTACATGAACATGAAAAATGGAGATTATAGTAGTACAAGCTCTGAAAATCTCCAAAGTGCCTTGAGGAATCACGAAAAACTTGTCGTTGTCATGGAAGATGTTGATTTTTCTGATACCCGGTTGGTAAAATTTCTCGCGGGTGGATTTGAAACTGGAAAATTGGGAGAATTAAGCAAAGAGGAGGAGAGTTCATGCCGGGCAATATTTATTCTAACAAAGGGTGATCCTAAGAGCAATGAAGGTGACAAGAAAAACCCGAATTCTGTAATGCTGATGAAATTGCAGGTCACGATTCCAAATTTGGGGAGAGACAGCTTGGATCACAAGAGGAAAGCCGAGTGGGATTTGGCAGGCAAAGCCAAGAGCCCTAGAATCGACGAGAGGGACGAGGCCTCTTCGATTGCTGCTGATTGTGGGAACAGCGAGAAAGAGTTTACTAGGCAACTGAGCTCCAACACCATTGATCTGAACATCAGACCGGATCAAGATGAGGTAAACAGAGGCAGCGTTGGAGAGCTTAGCTCAATTTCAAGTGATTAGAGTGGCGAAACTGACAGGATCGTTGGGTATTTTAGGTCGTTTAATTGAAGAGTCGTTACATTGGGTCTGGGGGTATAGTTGACAGATTGTTTTAAATTGGCGGGAATGAAAATACGAGCTTTAGATCTTGTATAATTTAGAAAGACAAGGTTCACTTTGCAAAATGAAAATGACCAAAATGTACCTGTCTAACTGCTCATGTAGTCATGTTCCTAATTCTCTTTTGCTATTTTACTTTTCAATATTATTACTCTTCAAACTTATTTTGGCAGATGAACTTTGTCTAGTTGATTTTGCCTTGAACAGGGTAAAACGCAAGTTTGGGCATAAACAAAATTTCAAGTATGTATAATAAAAACGGTCCATAAAATATCTGAGAATCACCTTATATATGCTCCAAATTTTCCGATAACTAGTATTAACAACGGCCCCTAGCACTCCTATTTAAACCAATATATAGTACTTAGACGCTTGGTGTAAAACCTCTCTCTCTATGTTGGGCAAGAGTGTTTTTTCAACATGGAAAACAAAAATACACTTAGAGAGGGACTTAGATTTTCTGTCACACACAATTCTTTTGAATGGATATCGCTTTTACGCTCCACACGCGCTTCCTCTCCTGCTGTATAACTTAGATTTTGCTTTTAAGCTCCACACGCGCTTCCTCTCCTGCTGTATGACTTAGATTTTGCCATTACTGGACTCTTGAGAGAGCACTCGCTCTGTGTGACTTGACCCTCCACAGATAAAATTATCTTGCAAACCACGAGAAATATGTGGATAAATCAATTGCCTACTGATTCTTCTGCTATAACAAATCTGACACAATAAGAATACAATAAAAATACAAGGAAAAAAAAAAGTAGGAAAAGGAACAAAGTAATTTTGTCAAAGAAGCATACATTAGGCGGCGTCTCTGTGGTTATTACAAATGAGACGCAAAAAAACTCACAGCAAAATTACATTAGCATCAGCTCAAGTATACCGTATACATTACTGTTACACATCTTCCAGAGAAGGAAATCCTGGGTTGAGCTGAGCTGTCAAAGAATGAGCGATAAATGCCGCTAAACTTACAAATAAGGGAAAATAAAAGTGAGCTAATATACAAAGAATGGCACTAACTGCAGGCTCTAATTTACACTTTTTCCTAATTTACACTTTTGTAACTATGTGGTTGCGTCATCAAGATATACAGAAGGGTGGCTAGATGTAAGATATTCCCACCCCATAAATAAAGCATAATATTATAAAATAAAATAAAACTCAAACCAACAAAGGACTCAGTAAGAATTTGAAGGTGGTGTTCTTGAAGAGGCAGCTTCTAGAGGTTCTGAAGGGTTTGATGAATCTACAGCAGTTTCAAGGTCGAGTAAAGGAGTTATTCTTCTTTCCACCTCCTTGCTTTGTAAACTGATCTCCTCGAGCATCATAGAGAAAGCAGATTTGCAAGATTCTTCATCCCTAAATGCCAGGGTCCATCTTCCATCAACCAAAGCTTTTGTCTTAACTTTTCCTTGGGCAGCAAAGGGCAAAGTAGATGGACGGATTCGAAGGTGTAACCATCTTGAATGCTTATCATCTATTCTAGGCTGAAGGAAACAACAAAAAAAACAAAAAAGGAAAACTTGGTTATTTGTAACTTATTATCATCCTAGCACAGCTCTTAATTAGGCTACAGAACACTTGTACACGCATGGGACCTTCATAGTGAAAACATCTTAGATGGGAAGGGACCTTCACAGCAGTAGACATGGCAGAGACGCGTGCGTGCGCAGAGAGAGAGAGAGAGAGAGATGGATTTGGTCACTTGAGTAGTAGAAAACAGTTATGAAAGTTCCAAGAAGGGGTTAAACTCTTCTAAATAATGAGATAACACAGTGGAGATCAAAACAGGACTAGAGTACGGAAAATATGACAACAATGGAAGACATTAAGTTCCCTCGACCCCAAGTCATCTGAGAGTATTTTCTCTACAAGAAGTAAAACAATGGCAGCCTTAACTAATTTTGATCAATAATAAGTCAATCTTATGACTGGAAGTACAGAAAGGAAGAGAAGATGTGTTCTTATATTTGTCGTAGTGAAGCACATGATATATTAAGATCGTAAAAGAAAAGAAAAGGCACAAAACAGCTATACGTACCTTACAGCCTGCCAAAGGTGCAGCAACACGAATGACTCCATAATGCTGTTTCAAAGGTAATTCTTCTGCGAGGACAACCCACCCAGATGTTCCCATAGAGAGAGCAAGAAAGAAAAAATGTCGTTCTTTACCCCTTTCAAATGCAATTCTACAAGGCACTGCATCAGCTGAATACAGCAACCAGTAGAGAGAGAATAAAAAAACTTTATTACACAACCCTTAAACCACACAAATTTTTTAGTCAAGATATCCACAAGATGAGAAAATTTTCTTTCTTCTCAAAGTTGAAGAGGTGACAAACACTGATAAACCAATAAATGAACCATTTATGTATGTATACATGTCTGTATCCAAAAGAAACAAAAAGTGCAAATAAGAACAAGTTATAAAACTAACCAAGTTTTAACTCAGTGCCTGGTTTAGGACCAAAAACATCCAGGTTAGCTGTTTTTGCTCGGGAATTTTCAGGAACATCAACTGCAGGGTGGATTGGGGGTTGATCAAGCAAAACTCTACCAAGGGAGAACATTTGGAGTTGATGGAGGACAACAAACACCTAACACATGGAGAGGATGGCAAAGATTAGTAACAGAAACAAACTGTACTGAAACACTGCATCACTCTAGCATAAGCACATGAATAATGTGGAATGAATGTTATGTTAGATTACATTTTAGTTTTCTTATTTTCGCTCATGCATAATTAAACTGATATAGGACTGAGTGTCGGCATATATCAGATATTTCATCATGCTTCGACAAAAAGGAACTGATAAAATTGAGTTCAAACACAACCTTCACCAATTCGCACATTCTCTCAGCAGCAATAAAAGATGATTCGCCAGGAACTTCTGCATTTAGAAGAGATACATTACATATAGATACCCATTTCAAAAATTTTAAATTTAAAACCATTCAATTCACAGAAGGTCTTCATACCTTCAAAAAGACGTTTCTTTGATGGCATGAGTGTGCACTTCAGTTCCATCTGAGGGGATGATGCCTCAATTGCTACAAGTAATAGTTTCACTATTAACAAGTTGCAAAATTATATAATCCTTCATTCACAACTACTGAAGTTTAATACCTCTTTTGCACTTCCTCCACTCGTCACAAAGGACTGTTATCAGTAGATCAGGCCAGGTTCCTCTAGCCTCCGCAAGTAGATTACTAGTGCAATTTTTGTAAGAATTCTACAATTCAGAAGTCGATATACAGTATGTATTATAAGTTCATCCAGAAAAGGACGTGTAAATGAATCAAAGATGCAAATTAATAAAAGAAAAGGGGGAAAAGAATAGCTTAAAATTTGAGATATGTATCCTTATTTAATTTAATTTTCATTCTCTTCTTCAATTTTATTCATCTTACTATCACCCTAAAACAGTATGAAAAAAGATTAATAGGATCCGGTGATTAACAGGTATGAAAAAAGATTGGCAGGGTGGAAAAAACAGTATCTTTCGAAAGGGGGGAAGGTCACTCTTATTAAGAGCACCCTCTCGTCCCTTCCCACATATTTCTTATCCTTGTTTCAAATCCCGTGCTCTGTTGCTGAACGGATCGAAAAAATTCAGAGAGATTTTCTTTGGGGTGGAAAAGGACAAAAGTTTAAGTATCATCTTGTTAATTGGGAGCAGGTTTGCAAACCTTTGAAGTTTGGCGGTTTAGGTATTCGAAAGTTGGTCCCTTTTAATAGAGCCTTACTGGGGAAGTGGTTATGGAGGTTCAGTAAAGAGCGTAATTGACAATGGAGAAAAGTTATTTCGTGTCGTTTTGGGGAGGAGAGTGGAGGTTGGTCCTCTCGTCCTGTTACTATTACCGAGGGCGTTGGCGTTTGGAAGTTCATTCGGAAAGGATAGGATGTGTTTTCCACCCATATTCGGTTCAAGGTTCGTAATGGCATGAATGTTAGATTTTGGGAAGACTTATGGTGTGGTGACTAGCTGTTGTCTCTCTCCTTTCCTCGTCTCTTTTGCATTGCCGAGAATAAGCATGCTTACGTAATTGACTGTTATCATCTTGATAACAGTGGAGTTACGTGGGATGTACATTTTAGGCGTTCTTTTCAGGATTGGGAGATAGCAGAAGTTTGCGTCTTTTTGGACATGTTGTATAGACAGAAGGATGTTAGCAGAGGTTGTGATGACATTTTGTGGACCCCCTCTCTTCATGGAAGATATGAAGTTCGATCCATGTTCTTGTGCTTGTCTAATTTTATTGGACATAATTTCCCATGGAAGTGTATTTGGCGCTCTAAAGCCCCTCTTAGAGTCACCTTCTTTGTTTGGACCGCTACCTGGGGGAAAATCTAACATTGGATAATCTACGTAAGAGAGGTAATATCATTGTTAACTAGTGCTGTCTCTATAAAACTGATGGTAAGTCTGTGGACCATCTTCTTATGCATTGTCCTGTTGCATCTGATTGTTGGAATCTCATATTCAGTATTTTTGGTGTTCAATGGGTAATGCCTAAACACTCTTTCCAATTAATTGATGCTTGGAGAAGATGCCTTGGTCATGCTCGTGATTTTTGGAGGGTCGCCCCACACTGTGTTTGGTGGTGCATTTGGAGAGAGAAATAACATAAATTTTGAAGGAAAGGAATCGTCTTTAGCAAACCTAAAGTTTCTTATTCTTCGCTTTCTTTTCTATTATGTTAGAGGCAGCGCTTGTTCCTCGATTGATGATTTTTTTGCTCTATTGGACTATATTGGTCCGTAGTTCTGGCTTTTGCTTTTTCGTTTTTGTGTATTAGGGACGCGTTCCCCTTTTGAACGTTTTTCTAATATATTTTTTACTCGTCAAAAAAAAAAAAAAAAAAAAATGTTGCATTATACGTGTTGCATTTCTTTCTCTTTTTTTGTCCACATTTGCACCCTTCTTTCTGTCCTTTTGTCTCATACCAAAAAATAATGATAACACAATTATTACCTCTATCTTCATAAAATTCCATCAATTGTCACCCCTTGTCACATGTGTGTGCGTGCCCCCCCACCCCACCCCACCCACCCACGCGCGGAACCAAATGACGATAAATTTCAAATCAACGGCGTTTTTTTACCAACGATTTGGGATCGTGTAGTTTCACAATTTCTCTAAGAACACAGCATAAGTTGAATAAACATTCTATCAATGACCACATGACTCTTCCACTTCTCCTAGTGAACCACATCTCTCTTCCTCACTGTATAGATATTGGCCTTTGCTGCACACGTCAAACCATTTAAAACAAATTTCTCTCATTTTCTCTCATTGTCGCTACTTCAACCATCTCAAAAAATGTACACATTTCTATTCGTCCATTCTTGTCTAGGCACACACGGACTCAATGTTCACATTGACCACACTCATGTTCTTTCTGCATCCAGCATTTTGTTCCACCAATTATGCCAGTCTAATACATACTTTATAAAATTTCATTTTCATTTTAGATGCATGACATAATATGTTAGAAGAAACCCCCAATCATTCTGCTTTCATTCTTCGACTAACAATAGATCCCAAAAGCATGCGGAATTGCGGATGTAACCCCAAACAAACACTTGGCTCAATTGGGCTTGAGTTAATACTTGGTGAAGTGATCAAACTGCTTTGTAATATTCACTAAGAGGTCTATGTCAAGCTCAGACTCGGCAATCATGTCATCAGCATAAACCTCGATTTGGTGGGACTCATCCACATAGATAACCAGGTCAAACTTCATTGATGGAAACAATAGAACAGTGGTCGAAACAAGATACTTGTGTGGACAACGAAAATATGTGATCATATAAACGTTTTTGGCCTCGTCCGGAGTACTCCCTTCAAGCACCCAGCTTCAAAGCTTGGTGAATCACTGGCAATGCTGAACTTTATGGGGGCTCCTCTCACGAAAAAAAAATACACAAATTCTGAAGAATCTCAACGCGCAGCTGACATTAGCCAAGATGAAGAAGAGTCTTGACTTTTCTGGTATCACTTAAACCTCAATATATTTCTAGTTTTGGTAATATTACAAGCCATATATATCCAATACTAGTCGTACTTATCTTAAATCAAGAAAACCTCCATTTATTAACACTCATCTTTCAAATAACATTATCAACATAGCAACAAGCACCATGACTCTCAACCTGAATGTGTTTTGTTAGTCCATTCATATGACTAAGGCCAAAACACACGGGCTCAGTGTGGATCCTTGATAAGTCCATAGTAGTTCAATATTCACTGTTTCTCACTTTCTCCCATAGCTATTCTCGAACACATTCACGGTTATTATTGTGACTCCTTTCTTTTCTAAAACCAAAATACTATATCTCTAAGAACCTTGTTATTGGTTTTCTTCACTTATTAACAAAGTGAAGATCTTCCTTCGTCTCTATATCTTTCTTTAGTCTCCATAGTAGGTAAATAACTTCAATTTTAGCCTCCCGGCAGAAATCAAATTGAGTGTCCAAGATCAAAGGAAAAATAGCTAATGTTCTAATTATTTGTTTATTCACCATTTAACATCACTTGATTGGGAATTCTAAAGTTTCTTTCTTTTTGGTCAATTTAGTTCTAAAATATGTGATGTTTGGTATGGACAGAAAAGGTTCACTTCGCGCGCCCCCCCCCCCCCCCCCCCCCCCAAAAAAAAAACAAAAAAAAAAAAAAAACAAAGGGAGAAAGGAAAAAATTAAGACGGAAAGAAAACAAAATTCACTTGTTTTCAAAAACAATTGAAAAAATGTGGGGGGAGAGGGGGAGCAAGAAGCACTGCATTGATATAGCAGTAGGATATTCATCACAAACAATATAGCATGTACATATCAACATTAGATGTTTAAGTCTTTCTGCTCAACTGGCAGCCAACAGGTCAACTTGCAAAATCTGCATGTAGCCAGGCTCTATGACTGCAAACTTAGCAGATAGCTATTTCCAACATAATTAGTTTCCAGAATAAAAACGAAAAAGGGATAATTTTCCTATATATATTTTTTCATTTGCCTTTTTCATCCTCCTGAATTCCTATAGGAAATAAACAATTTTATAATCAAAAAATAAAATGATGTATTATGGTAACTTGGTGCATAGATAGGAAGGTGAAAAACACTAGGAAACTACTAAATCTATTCAAATGTTAAAATAGTTGTCCACCTCAAGGAATCACTACATGTATCAATTCAGAATTTCAATCACCTCTACTTATTATCCCAGCTTTAAGGAAGAAATTAGTAGTGTGATAAACAGTATGTTGTTGAGAGATGCACTTTAAAAGGCTAAAGAATGCATTGTATGATTCTTATTACTTGGTCTTATTGTTCAATCCTCTCATTTTTCATTCCTTTTTTTTTTTTTTTTTTCTTTTATTTACTTATTTTTTGATAAGCCTGTTCAATCCTTTGTTTTAATCGTCTTAAAAAATTACTTACTTTAAGCAATTTAAGATGATGACTGTTGAATTCTGCCTCACTATAAGGAAGCAACTGCCGCAAAAGCCAACCGCCATTCCACAATGTTTCTGCAGAAATATTTGACCTGCACAAAAGACTGACCAATGCATCGAGCACCTAAAAAAAAGATATGCGTATGAGAATATGATTCTAAATTTGAAACCCAAAAGGAAATCTGAATTTTCATCCCTTAAATGCACATGGTAGTAAGATGCATATATAATGCACACAGTGGTCAAGGGTAAAACACATAAAGGGGCACCACATTTTTTAGTTACAACACAGGGCTGGTCAGGTTACTTTTGTATCTAAAATTTGTGAAACAAAAATCATGTTGAAGAACCTAAGAAGCGCACTTTAGAAAAATGAATGGTAATATCAAACGCATATTGCACATTGACACTTCAATAACTCCCAAGACGTGTCCGAAACATCAGAAGCGTTGTCATTGACCATAATTCAAAAATAGATTTCATTATTTCATACACCTCGCCGGTACATTACAGAAATTCCCTAATGCTATGTTTGGTTGGAAGGAAGGATTGAGGAAGGATGGAAGACAGGAGGGATAAAAGAAGTAACAGTAGAAATATAATATAGATGAAAGAAAAGAGAAATATGTAAAAGGTTTGGATGAGATTATCAATATACAAAGGCTTGAATGATATAATCACTCATTCACAACTCTAGTATTTATAGATAAAAAAGAGCACATGCTCATATTACAAGAAAGGAAATAAAATAAAATCTAAATCAAATCACAGAATATTCTATGGCATATTCAATAGCATAATCAGATCTATGCTAATACGGTAAGTCATTCCATAAATCGTGGCTAGTATATTTGTTAACACTCCCCCTCAAGTTGGTGCGTGGATATCTGAGACGCCCAACTTGGACAATGCAGCTACAAACACGGTCTTGCTAGCACCCTTCTTCAGAATCTACAAGTTGCAGAGTGAAAATCTGACTAGATTAAAAATGTCAATCAACAAACCAAAAATGTCTCCTTGGACAATAAACAATTAATAATGTCTCCTTAGACCGTAAACAACCAATCACGTCTCCTCAGACCGTAAACAAATAACAATATGTCTTCTCAAACTGTAAACAAACAACAATGTCTCCTCAGACCGTAAACAAACAACAATGTCTCCTCAGACCATTCCCCTTTATACATATGTTTAAACAATGTAGAAGAAAGAATCAACAATGTCTCCTCAGATTTTAAAAAAGAAACGAATATGTGACTATGTCTCCTCAGACCGTTTCTGAATGGGTGGGTGCCGAACTCGCAATGACCACATTGCAGTCGGACCACCCTGGCTCTGATACCAAGTATAAATATAATATAGAAGAAAGAAAAGAGATATATGTAAAAGGTTTGAATGAGATTATCAATATGTAAAGGCTTGAATGATATAATCATTCATTCACAACTCTAGTATTTATAGATAAAAAAGAGCACATGCTCATATTACAAGAAAGGAAATAAAATCAAATCTAAATCAAAGAAAGGAAATAAAATCAAATCTAAATCAAATCACAGAGTATTCTATGGCATATTCTATAGCATAATCAGATCTATGCTAATACGGTAAGTCATTCCATAAATCGTGGCTATCATATTTGGTAACAGTAACCATTGTTTGGTTGGAAGGAACTAGGAAGGGAAGAGAGGAAGGAAGCAAGGTCCTGACCCACATTTTTTCATCCGACTAAAATTTGACGGAAGACAGGAAGAAAATATTAAAAAAAAAAAAAAAAAAATTCTATAAATATAAATTTTAGTTTTCAATTATATCTAACAAACTATAAATTCTCTTATTTCCTTCCTTCCAACCAAACAAAATAAAATGTCACATTGTCCATACTTTCCATTACACCTTCCATCCAACCAAACAGAAAGTGAGGAAGACACCATCCCTTCCCTAGGGATGCCTCATCCATCCCTTCCCCTCTCCCTTCCATACATTTTTCCATGCCTCCTACCTAATGGAGCATAACACAAACCTTATGTAGTACTACAAGAAGTCAATTCCATCACTCTTAGAAACAAGGGAACACACCACAAAGTGTCCGCCTTTCTTTCTTTAAAAAAAGTTGACGTTAAAAAAATGGCCATTCAAGCATGCACTGGACACTGATAGAGGACGAGAAATATAATAAGATTAATAATATTGTGACGGGAGTGATAGTAGTTTATATAAAATAAAATAAATGAAATTCTTAGGCTAATTGCCTAACTTAATATTCCATATTGGGCAATTCTTACTATAGAAGTTAGAAATTTAATCAATGTTCTAAGATTGTGTTTATGAAGCACCAATAATTCTATAAGGGGGACATCCACATTGTACCCGTAATGGATACTAATACTTCCCAAACACTCACATGCACCTGTCTAATGTTTCCTAAATGTATTTATAATTGTTTCCTAAATGTATTTATAATTTGAAAACAACTTATTCTAATTATTCCGAACGTGCGTCCAATACTTCTTTAAATGCTCTGGCAACATATCTGATACTCATATACTTTAGGACTCATGTCTAACAGGTTTTAGCCTAAAAATTAACTTTTACAAGTATAACATTATAGGATAATTGTCAGGAAAAGCATTATAGGGACTTAAAAAAATAAGAATAAAAAAAGGAAAAGGAAAAGCATTATAGGTGTTCCAACTACTTAATTTATTATTATTTTTTAAATGGATATGATGATTAAGAATGTATCATATCCAACATTGTCCCAAAGTTTATTTTTAAGTTCATGCAATATAACACACAGCTTGTTTATTATATATATATATATATATATATATATATATATATATATTTTTAAAGGTTATTAATAATATATATAACATGACAAACTATTATTCTATTACATTAATAAAATAATCATTTTCACACACACACACACAAAAGCATGTCCTTGCAAAATCCGTGCCCTTCTTTCAGAAATTTGTCATATTGTTGTGTCCACGTGCCATAAGTTATCTTGTACAATAGAAATATTTAATATTTATAAATTGTGGTCTTCATGCTGCGTCTGTATCCTACCATTTTTAGGATTTAACATGTCCTCCTAGGAAGCATGGACACACCTAAAAGGGAAAGAATCCGTGTCAAACATGCGCCGGACACACTTCGACACGTGTCAGACAAGGCAAAAAATGTGTGATTTTTTATTTTATTTTTTTGAATATTCGGACACAGTGTGGACCCACACGCCGTGGACACAAGTCCAACACGCCACAGATACGTGTCCAACACGCGTGTCCCATTCTTGGATTTTTTTTTTTAGTAAGGCATTCTCGAGTATGTTTAAAAAGTTTCAGAAATAAAGCTAGGTTGAAGTGTAAATATGAGTTGTTCAATAATTTTCAATAAATGATGGTCATTACATAATAATTACTTAAAAGTTGTTTTATAAAACAATTAGATATTTATGCTTGTATTTTAGTTCAAAGTTCAAACTCTTGCACAATCATCTTGACTCTCTCTTTTCAAAAACCCTAGATATTTCTTCTATATTTTTTCCTTTCACAACAAAATTCTTTTTGCGTCTCTTTTTCCTTTTCCCTCTTATGGATTCTCGCCTTTATTTTTAACTAAGCCCTGATTCTTTTTCTAGCAAAACCCTAATACTCCTTGTTTCTTTGTTTTTTCCTCTTTCTTAACCCTCTTTCTATCATTCTTTCTTTTTCCATGCAAAAAACTTTTTTTTTTTTCATTATTAAATTGATAAAAATTAATACTACTCTTGATTTCTTAAAGTACAACATTATATATATATAATTATTATTTGTCGTGCCCCACCGTGTCCATGTCCGTGTCCTAATTTTTTAAGATTTGCCGTGTCCGTGTCGAGTCGTATCCATTTCCGTGCTTCTTAGATGTCCTCTTATCCACGTCATACACGTCAAAATCCAATATACATGTCTATGTTACTTAGCAAAAAACTAAAGGAGATTATTCATCCCTTTGAATCACATGAATCTACAACTTTTATGCGACAATCACAAGATTCACATATATATGCCTCCACTGTTGTGATGTTCTGTTTGTTTCTTCTATTCATCTTTTACCCTTTCTCACACCTTGGTCTTGGTTTTGGAGGATCTCTCATCCTCTTGGCCTTCCACTCTTCTTTTCAGTAAGTTCTTCTTTTCCACAAGAAAAGGCAAAATCATTTTCCAATGATTTCTTGAAAGATTTTACTCATTCCTGACTTTATCATTTTTGCAAGTGCGTGCATACCAAAGAAATGTACCAATGGGACAATAAACCATAGTAGCTCAAGTGCATCTTGAGACTTAACTATTCAATATTCCAATTTGAGCCCACTGATGTGCACCACAACAGGAGGATCAAAATGTACATATATATACACACATACAGAATACTTGTATGTACATTTATACACAGATAGATAGATATATAGAGAGAGAAGGGTAGAGGAAAGCGTTGGAGATGTCAATTACTGATAAATAAATAAAAAAGTAATATAGAGAACTAGTTTTTGGAAAGAGATTAGTACTTGAAATCGATGTGCACGAGGGCTTGCCCCAACTTCCGGGCAAAAATATGACACTCCATAATGATCCTGCTAGAAGCAAATTAAAAAAGAAAAGAGAACAAGAAATTTAACAGTTGAAGTATACAAAGAATAAATGAGTTAATTTTGCTCAAACATGAATGGCTTACTGAATTATGGAAGTTACAATCACAATGCCATTATGAAAGATTTATTATTAAACAGCCCCACCCTACACAAGGCCATCACTTCCATTGATCTTAAACTTGTCAAAGAAAATCTCAATTCATCTAAAAAATTCAGTTACGCCCACAACTTTTCCAGCTTGATAATAATGAAGAAAATATGGTAGAAAGCTTGTCTCGGGCTTCTGTGTACATCTATTTTCTGGTACCATAAGTGATAAACTTGCAACATAAATTCATCAGAGTTTAGCTATAGTATGTTCAACTGTTCAAGTGAAGAGAGAGAGTGTGTGCACGTGTGTGTTGGGTTGGGGGGGGGGGGGGGGGGGGGGGTGTTGTGGAGCAATATCAGTAATAGAATAATTACCTTCAGCTTTTGTAGATAGCTATCCAGTTCACAACTAAGGCCATCTTTCATTGCACTACTTTCGGAAGAAAAAAGTTGCTCTTCACCAGAGCCCTCACCCACCAAAGCTTGCTGTAGCCACACAACAATGAAACATTATACTTCAACTAATCAACAAAATCATCATGTGATGCATATAGTTCAACTACAAAGAAAGAAAATAACACAAGATTAACCTTGAATCATTCAATTTGTAGTTTAAGTAATGGATAACCATACCAAAAAAGAGGGAACAATTGGGACATATTTCTGCCATGCTTGGAACACAGTTGTAACTTACAGTCTAGAAGTCTAGAACTAAATCATGACAAATATAGTGAGAACAAAAACAAAAAAAAAAATGGTTAGGCAACACTAACAAATATGCAAACTAATTGCACAACTGCTCTAAACAATCCACAGAAGATGAAAGGAAAACTACGAGACAGCCACCAAAAAAGGGGGGGGGGGGGGGGGGGGGGGGGGGGGAGGGTACTGAAGAAAGCGTGTTTCAGCTTGTATAATGCAAATTCTACGCCTACAGACGTTCCATTTCTCTGTTTCAGGCTGTTCTCCAAACTTTCTTTCCACAAGCATCCACCCTAATAGCCTGCCAAGCCTATATTGGGCTTCCGTCTGATTCACATTATCGATGTGGAACCACTTTTAATATCGGTGGCATAGTCTGGGCCATTAGGACAAATATTTCTGACCATGATGGAAATAGCTGTGAGAGCACTTTTTTGAACATGAATAAGGTTCATATAGTTCATTTTCATAAACCTTTCGAAACATTTTGGAATTTATTTATAGAATTTAAGGGAAAAAATCAGAATTATCTAAATGGGTATAATTGAAATGCAGTGTATAACAGTGTTACAATAGAAGGTAATTGTTCCCAGTGTTATCAAATAGGGCAAGAGATAAAATAGGATCACAGAAATCTAAAAACCTCGTTAAAGAGAAAACAGACATCCCAAATAGTCATAAAGATTTTTATCTTTGCAGAGCAAAGACGAAGCAAATTTTATTGGGTGTATCAATCTTTTTCTATTGGGCCAACCTCTGGCTTTCAGACACTGGTCTCAGTACAAAACATAAAGATTCAAAATTTTCAAGAGAGACACTAGTGAGAAGAATAAACACAGGAAATGGACCACCATTAGTTATATATATAAATTTTCAGTGAGCAAGCAAGAGAACTTATTCTCCAGGAAGCTAATAAATAATGAAAGAAAAAGATAAAATAAAATAATAAAAAAAAAGTAATCTTAAACACCAGGGGTTATACCCATCCTGTCAGCAAGCAAGTACAAGAATGGTAACCGCCACCAACACACCCAAAGAGAAAATACGTTGCAGGTAATATTTAAAAATGAGGAAAATGATTATCACCACGTACCAGCAAGAGTTTCTTATGTTGTTTCCGTTGTGGTAGAATTCCAAGTGCGTCCAACATTGATTCATCCAGTTCTGCAGATGGAGAAATTCAGTAAGAAAACAGTTATGAGCTGTAGAGAAGCAAGATGAATGAAATTAATAATATAACCTTTTGTTTGCAACAATGTAGCCAGCACACTCAATGAACCCAAAACTTGAAGATCATTCCCACTGGTAACATAAGTAAGCAAGACCTCCCTACACAGAACAGAATGTAAATTGTTGAAAATATTCAAGCTCATCAAAAAAAATAGACATTCATTACTCTCTTTCACATGGTAGAAAAAAAGGCATTTGATTTTATGAATATAAAACATTAGGCCAATTCTGAATTAGTTTGTATGTACTATATAGTTCAAGCAAGGGTGATATTCCTATAATTACTTTCTTTTTTACACATATTTCCTCTAGTTACTTCAGTAAAAGCTTGGAGAGCTAAGGTAAGGAATGGCAGTCTTACAAAATTTTTGTCCTACCATGTGAGTACCTTGTCAAAGCTTACCACTTATGAAGCTTTTTTCTTTCCTTTTTTTTTTCATAATTCCACTGATGAAGCTTTTGAATGTTGCCTATCAATAATGCACAATGTCACGTACTAGTAAAAGTGCTAGGACATCTAAAATGGAAGAGTGGGATTAACATTTAAATTTCATTGTTGTCAATCATAATATATATACATCCACGATGCATTACCCAATGAATGTCCCGCCAATGTAGGGTGCTAGAAGGGAAAGATTCTTTATAGACCTAAACTAACACATTATTTTGCACAAAACGGCTACTCTAAGACTGGAAACTTCGCCCTCATATTGTTCAGGCAAGTCCTTGCTATCGCCTAAAGTTATTGTGTGCCCACAAGGTTGATTATTGGTTGGCTTAATTCGTAATGCCCAAGACGGCTGCACAGCCCAACACTCATGTCCCAAGAGTGTGGGGCAAACCAACGGGCCAGTAGCTTAGCAGTATCAACCTCTTACTTCCCAAAGGAAGGTCAAGGGTTCAAGTCTCAGAAGAGGTGTGTGAGTACCAACTAGGAAAAAAAAAAAGGGGCAAGAGCTCTAGGCTAGGATGGGACACAAATTAAAAAAGAACTAAAAAATAAGTTGAGTGCAAGGCATTCGCAGTTCGATATTCCACAAGCTCTGGAATCGTAGCATATTTGCTCTCAAAATGTTAACCAATGAACCGGGAATGCATTTATCACCATAAGAAAAAAACATTTATATAAGAGCGTAAGAGGAAGTAGGATAGAAAGAGAACGGAGAAAGACACATATTTCCCATCATAGACCAACATATAAATAGCCAGCTAATACAGAAATATACAGAAAAGTAAATTTCAGGAATCGTATAGGGAAAAAAACCAGACTAATGTCCTCATCTCTTGTGAGGCATCACATCTAGTCCCACAGACTAAATGTATTTCAATCATTTAGAAGTAAAAAAATAAATAAAAAATAAAAATCAAGAACAAATTTTGAAATAAAACTTATTGGTGGCAGATTCAATATTACTAAATTTGGTGGTGCATTGACAAAGTAAAGTTCTTTTAGTTTTACTTTCACAGGGGGAGGTCAGTGTAATTTCTACAAAGGCCAGAAGGGATCTTTGCAATTATTAAAATAAAAATAAAAAGAGGGACATTGGAGTCAAAAGGGAACTAAGAACACAAGATATTAGTTATAGGTTTCATGTTACACTCATTGAATATTGAATTTGTCCATCTTTCCTTTTTCAGATGTTCTAGAACATATGTATAATGTGGAAATTAAAACTATTAGGCTTAATAAGTTCTTAAGTTGCCCCTTTCTAATTGAATTTGAATGCATTACCAATGTTAATAAAGTATTAGTTTGGGAGGTCAGTGTAATTTCTACAAAGGCCAGAAGGGATCTTTGCAATTATTAAAATAAAAATAAAAAAGAGGGAGATTGGAGTCAAAAGGGAACAAAGAACACAAGATATTAGTTACAGGTTTCATGTTACAATCATTGAATATTGAATTTGTCCATCTTTCCTTTTTCAGATGTTCTAGAACATATGTATAATGTGGAAATTAAAACTATTAGGCTTAATAAGTTCTTAAGTTGCCCCTTTCTAATTGAATTTGAATGCATTACCAATGTTAATAGAGTATTAGTTTGGGAATATCTACTTCTCACTCAAGTCTGAAGGAGCATAATTACCGAAGTAGAGTCAAAGCGTTTCTTGTAAAGCACAATACCCATGCTTTGATATAGTGTAAGAAATGCCATTGAAAAATCAGGTCCCTAGCAGACCTTGTAATACTGTCCAACCTAAGAAATTGTATAATAGCAACATGGGAAGGAAAATCAGATATTAGCTACAAGTAATGACGTTATGCTACCTTAAAACCAACTGTGAACCATTACAATCATGTTGCAAGATATCATCTTCTGATTGGATTTGTGTGGAACTACACACATTTGAAACTGTTACTCCTAAACTTCCCGAGTCCACCTCCAAATTAAGATTATCAAGGTCTAGTTGTTGGCCTTCATGTGTAAAACCAGAACCAGACACGTGGCCATTAAGTTTAGCACCAGATGTTGGTATAAAGGCTTCTAAAGGCCAGAAAAGAGCAGCAACAACAGTATTTGCCAAATCTTTCAATTTAACTATGCGCAAAATGCTACAAAGTAAATAGAGAGAAGTGACAGCACCAATTCTTGTTACCTGGATTAACAAGATAGAAAGGTCAGAAAAAGCAAGCTTCTTGAATAATGGCAATTGAACAATTGAAGTAACAAACTCGAAAAATCAGCACCCCTCCCCCAAGAATGAAGCAAGAAAACATTTGAAAAAGAAAACAGAAAGAGAAGAGCGAAGATTTATACAGCAATGGCTTCCATCCTCAGTGAAGGAAGAAGCAATGGAAATATCAAAAGCTTCAAAATGTTGTCTGTTATTAACCTCCCAACATCAGGGATGCCAGCAGAAATGACATCACTGAAATAGTAGAGATAGTCTTCAATTTCCTCTACAGCAGAATGAATAGTACATGTTGATTCCAGGCAAAGGTTCCTGTCTCGTAAACCAAATGATAGATCTTAGAAAGTAAATTTTTTTGTACATTGTCACGTTAAAAAGACAAATGTAACTCTTACTTATTAAAAAAAAAAAAGACAAATGTAACTCTTACTTTGAGGCATCCGAGACTAACCCATTAAACCAGATGCACTGTTCTCGAAAAAATTTAATCAAGTTCCAAAAATAATCCGCATGAGGAGCAGTGCTAACATATTTATTCACACATTCATCTCCAACTGAGAAAACAGTCAAGAAATATTGCAAAATTAGTATTTGGTCCTTTTGCAACATATTTAGCATTGTGAGGAGTAAAAGAAGGAAAAATATGCCAAGATAAATATTAAAAGATAGCAACTCACCGTGATAAACATTTAGTGTCAAAGTACGAATTGCAATCCGAATCAATCTCTCTTCATGAAAAGCAAACCGCATTGCCTCGACATACAGTGGAAAAGCAACTACTTCATCCTAAATGGATGCAGAAAAAAGAACTATAAGAAGAAGAAACACACACACGCACAGTACAGAAAAAAGAATTATAAGAAGAAGCAAACCGTCCCATGCATATGCCAGGATTTTTATCTTAATGTTTGTGATTATAAATATATGATCGAAGTTTAGATAATTATATAATTCCACTATTTCAAGTTTGCAGTTATATTTTATTTTTTTTCTTATTTTTCTTTTTTGTTTTGCGTGTTTGATACAACATCCATTGCTTCAATCAGGTGGGAACCTTGTGTTGCACCTTGAGCCTAGAGACTTTAAGAGACCTTAGCACCTTAGTTCACCTTGAGCATTTATCAACAATGACTCCAATGGTAGTCTTCACCAAGAAGATCATGCATGTTGAAAGCCACCTTTATTACATGATAGTAGACCACCTCATTTATGGAATTCTCCAAACTCCTCTCTGGAATAAAGTAAATACTTTTTTTATAAGGTAAATACTTTTTTAGGAAAAGGGAAAGACCGAAGCCAATCTAGATACAGTATTAAACAAAAACAGCCCAATAAAACAAAGAAAGACAACAGATAAAAACAACTAAAGTCCAGCAATGCAATCCTCCGAGGTCCAGAAAATAAGAGATTCCTAAGTAGAAGTTCAAGATATTCAAAAACCTTCTAAGTTCTCACCCCATATGCACCAAATAACTATGCCGAGGACCTCCTTTACGACTCAACTTCTCATGTTCTCAGCACAAATCAACCAAGCCAAAAAGGACATCCAAAGCCAATCAAAACATAAGCCACCAAAACAAAAGGATATGAATATAAAACCCCACATTCAACACCACCTACCAATAAAGGTACCAGTGAATTCCTTCTTGGCTCAGGCACTCCTAGCCATCTCCTATTCTGCCAATTAAAGAAACCCTCCCTTCTCATCTCAACATTTAAGACCTTCCAATACCTTAGCTTCAAATACCTCTAAGCTAACAAGCACATCCTATATCACCTTTTTGCTTTTGATAATTTCTTTTCAAAAATTAAGTTTATTTTCAATTACATAACTATGATTACCTTAGAAATCAAAAGAGTTCCTTGGACCCCTTTATTAAGTCAACAAAGCCCTCAACCTTTGAACACAAAGGCTCTAATGTGGAAGATATTTTCTTTTTGTTTTTAATAATAACCTTTTGAAGCATTAAATTTATTTTCAATTACATAACACCATGATTACCTTAGAAATCAAAAGAGTTCCTTGGACCCCTTTAGTAAGTCAACAAAGCCCTCAACCTTTGACCACATAGGCTCCAATGTGGAAGCCATTTCGTCTTCTCATACCCACATGACACATAAAAATTGGAATATGATCCAACAAAAGCCTCAGAAGAACCAATTGGATGGCTACAAAATGTTTCAAGTCCCATTTTGAAGGGAAAGTGAAACTACCAAACCAGCAGATGGCTTGACTTGTCTAGTTATAAAAACCTATTCAACTGTTACCGGCTGTCATGCATCAAACAGGTTTGAAGTGTGGCACCTATAAGTCTGGTTTGGTAGCAAGAAAATTTAGAATTATGTTTCAGATGTAAATATAGAATTAAAACTTGTGATTGTCATGACAAATTGATTTCCATATACCTGGTCAAAGAATTTGATTGTAATACTGCAAAACAAAAACTAACAGAAACCAAGAAGATTTATATGACATTCAAGAAAGAAAAGAAAAGAAAATAAGTAACTACTCTGTAAATTCCACCATTAAATGTTTCCTGATCAGTACAAAATAAAATTAATTGCTTCTCTTTTCTTTAAAAATTGGAAAGCACGAGAGCAAAAACATTAGCCCAGTCACCAAAATGTGACTGTTAACACCGCACACAATTTAAAAGTGGTAATGCAAGTATCTGACTAGTTTCTATAAATCACAAATAGAACGACCAGCAACAAAATCACATCTACCAAATAAATATCTGATAGGAAACAAAATGTAAACAAAGCACTGACTTAAGTAAAAATCTATAAATGAAGAAGATTAAACTTACATTTTGAGTCTTGATGAGCAGAGAAATAGTATTCTTGTTCAACTTTCCACTTATTGCTCTTCAAAGACCAGAACAAACAAGATCAGAATATCACAGTCAACAAAAAAAAAAGGATGATGCAATATGGTCATTGCAGAAAAGAAAGTTCAAATAAATTAATCAATATAAATATAAATATAATTAAATAAAATAATAACGTGAGAATAAGCAAGGTAGTAAACAACAAACCTCAAAAATGATATGTAGTAAGACAATAGCTCATCATCGCAGAAATCAAAGGAATAAGTTATTAGGTAGTTAATATGTTCATTACTGAAGAGATAATCTGCAAATTTGTCCACAGGAGAGAATATCAGATCATCTAACAGAACAGCTTGCTGAAAAGCTGTTGACTTAACAACACCAACTTACATATAGAGTGTTCATTTTTGAGGTTTGCAATCATGATGCTCATTGTCTGCAGTAACTGACGTGAAACGGTCTCAGTTCTACTAATCTTCAGCATACGTACAAATTCCCCCATGACCTGCTTCTCCATGAAATATCTGCAGAAAAGCCAGAATGACATCAAATTGATGAAATGTATACATATACTAGCATATGTAAGGAACAAAAAGTATTGAGAAGTCTCACTCAAAAAAGTTCAGATCATGCTGGTCCCCATATATTATCAACTCTGCAATCGATCTCAATGCCTCAATAACAAAATCCTTCAGAACAGAATGAAGAGTCATAGCAAAAAAAAAAAAATTACAGGACAAAATAATGGCAAATGAAAGCAGCAGCTAACCAGAATGAAAAAATAGATATCACTTACCTTGTTAACCTCATTAACAACCTGAACCTTTGTCAGCTGATCAGTTAGATATCTACACATGATAAAAGAATAATTAATCTTAAAATCAAGAAGGGTCGGGAAATTTTAAGTATCACGTATCCAAAGCCAGCAATGTTGTATGGAGCGGAGTGTTGGGCATTGAGAAAGACACAAATACAACGCATTCATGTAGCATAAATGAGGATGCTACGTTGGATGATACCAGATAGAAATCATGGTGTAGTAGTGAGTACCATGAATTATGCCCAGAGGTGCTACCGAAGAAAGACATATACTTACAAGACCTTTAGGGTTGAAAATTATGAAGGGACACAAGCAGTGTAGCGATCACCATGTCTTATGCCCATAGGTGCTACAAAAGAAACAAATACACTTGCAAGACCTCTAGGGTTGAAAATTATTGAAGGCAAAATAATAATAAAATAAATAAAATAATTTTTTTAATATAAGATCAAATGAATGAACAAATTACAAATTAAAGAAGTCTGGGTTAACCTCTTGAAGTGGATTCAAACTTCTTTTGTAACCTTACTTGGACAGGCATGCTCTAATCCCGATAATTTAGGTGCATCAGTGAACATTAAGTTTCATCTAAGACATTTGAATCATAAAAGTTCAATTTTCAGACAGATAGCCAGCTCCTCACTTTAAAAAATAGGTAAATTAACTCACACCCCTAGCACAATTTTGATCAGGGGTTTCTCCAACATACCTAATAAAGCATAATAATATAATATGGTGGTTCAAGTAATTTAAATGCTTGAGATTCTTCAAATTCCAACATAATTGGATGAAGTGGTTGTTTCCAAGTTCAGTGGCTGTGTTAGTGGGTCGGAAGAGGAATCTACCAACATCAAGGAAGAAAATTATCATCTCAAAACCCTCATTGAGGAGAAAAGAAAAGACTATAATTAGCAAGAAGTCTGAATGTAAGAACTAGAAAATTTCCGTTTGATAGTTTTCCAGAAGGAATACAGAGAATATGACCCCACAATCAACAGTTGTTGATGGGTGTAAGAGAAATTGAATCCATAACAAGAATTCTCTACCTTCATTTTAGCAAATTCCTCCCATAAAATTTTATCTATTAGGGAGCCCACTCCTCTAATGGGACCAACCAGGCAATGACCTGGCCCTACCCTGCTATACCCACCGCTCCTATGACCCCAAATCAACAAACCGGGAAACTTGGTACTCCGGCCCCCACCCACGTAATTGTTTGCACCCAAGAGTAGTCAAACCTTAAACCTGATGCTTCCTGAGGCACCAGGGCCAAGCCAAGTGACTTACTCACTTGAGCCAACCCCTTGGGGTTCACAACACTTGACTTCACTCATTAGAATTCATTCAAACCTCAAGAGAAGCTCTATCCACATCAGAAACACAGCCCAAGCTACCTATGCAAAAACGTATGTCAGCCTGCCCTTCCAACCACAAACTCATGTCCACCACCAGTAAATAAGTTTGTTGTCTAAAACGTGGTTTTTGATTCTACAAATCTTATGTACCAGCCACAATAAGGTTCCTTCAGGAAAGGAGATGAAGGTCACCTTTTCCGAAAGCTTTCATCCAAGATGAATGTAAGAGCCCTATATGAATCCCTCACTGACTCGTAGTACCAGCGAGCCCCAACCGGCAAACATCTTGCAGAATGCTCAAGGCCAATCAATGACCACTATGAGACCTCCTCCATTGAGAGCCTCAAACTCAAACCAGAGTCCAAGAATCCCCTTTCACCCCCTCAATCAATTGAAAAATCAAACTTCATCATCAACAAGGCTGAAGATTCGCTGATACTGTTAAAATATCACTGAATCTCTCATTTTTCCCTTTTGCGTTAATTCTTATATGCACATAACTTAATCAAAGCTTCTCTATACCATTATCAAAACTGAAACCAACTTTATCGATTTGGTCTCCTACTTTCTTCTTCCTTTGGTTCTAGACTAAGCAACCAAGTTAGTGTCAAAACAAAATTCTCAAAGACTATTAATACCATTAGTTCCCCTCCTTTCCTACCCTGTGTACCACCATATTTACTTTTAACCCAAAAGAACCACAATCAGCTTTCTTTCTCTTCAATGTGCAAAGATTGAACCCTTCCAAAACAAATTGTAAGCGCATAGACCAATCACCACAAACACTAAATAATTGCAACAATTGCTGGCAGAACAATCTTCATAAATCAAATAACTTATAGCTTTCAGAACCCATCTAGTTTAACATTCCTCCATCTATAAACCACCGTATATCTCTTTTATCTCCATAAAATCTAGACCCACAAACAGTGGTAAGGTTTATCCCACTAAGTCATTAAAAGACAATCTAACCAAAATCTTTAAGCAATTCCATATATCACCTCCATACATGCATCAACAATTGCACTGAAAAAACGAAGGAAAAACCATTTTATATGTTACCTCAATAATATTAAAGAAACTTGAGGTGATTAAAACCATAAACTATCTGTAAAATAGCGAACTTCCCGAGCCCCAGCCTCCCATCAACTGCTCATCAAAGGGCACATCCTGCTTGATTGTTAGCCTCCTAAATAGATCCAACAGGATTAGCTTCTTCTCCTCCAACATGCCAAGACCTCCATGTTACAAAATATAAATCTAAACTAAAACATCTTCAGCATCTTTTAAACGAATACCCCAAGAGGACATTAGGAAAATATCTTCCTCGGTATTTGAAAAAAGTAATCTTTAAAAATGACGAATATGGAGCATTTTACCATATGTCAACCTCTTTGCCACCAAAAAATTAGAAGAAAAAGAGATTCATATGTCAAAGAGGACATTGATGAATGATACATCTAAACATAACCTAATATAAAGAAGTCCAAACCAAAATAATCGAGTACAAAATGCAAGATTCATCCTTGTGAGTATCATATTAAGATTTAAATGCTTATTCACAGGAAGTCTGAAACAACATATCATTACCGCATCGGGTATGTGTAAAATATTTTGGCTAAAAATGCTGATAAACATCAACAACAAATCAATTTTGCATCCAATTAGTGCAAGATGAGGCACGCACCTGAGTGAAAGCTAGGTGCACAAGGGAAAAATTAAATTACTATTAAAGCATATTTATATTTCATATTAAAGAAGTAAAATGTTATCATCTGGGCACACAATATGAAGGCGCCAGAGGTCCTTTGGAGCCTAGGCGCAAGATGAGGCACGCATCTGAGTGAAAGCTAGGTGCACAAGAGAAAAATTAAATTACTATTAAAGCATATTTATATTTCATATTAAAGAAGCAAATGTTATCATCTGGGCACACAATATACGCAAGTGTTGCGCCTGTATGAGCACTGACGGTCATTAAACCTAAAAACATATCTAATACACCCCGCGTAGGACATACACTAGTAATACATTCGGTTTCTTTGAGACTTTTTTCATTAAACAAAACGGAGAGTTAAGAAAACAGTATCAAAATATTAAAAATTTAAAAACAACTTAAATATGAGTAATAATCCAAAAATTAAATCAAAACTGACTCTCCAGTCCGTCCACAAGCAACAAGTCCCATATAACATCTAATTGCCCTTGAATTGGCATCAATTTATACCTAACAACTCTCAAAACCCTAGAAAGTTACAAACTGAAACAGAAGAGTTAAGAAAAGGCAGTACCTTAGTTCATCCAACGAGAGTCGATTTCTGGATCTCCAGAACGAAAACCACATGATTGGATGATCAGACCTTTTTCGAATTAGAGGTCATTCTCAGTAGCACCAATTAAGCGCCACTCTTCTTCGGAGCGATTGTTGAATCGAAATTGAAACCGATCACCACCGATCGGGGATTCAGATTAAATTTTTGGAGTCTATTTCAATTATGTCAGTGTCAAGCGCGTGAGAGTGTCTCAAGACTCACGGCCAAATTTTACAACGAAGATATATATCATATATGTATATGTGTATAACTGTGTGTATATATATATATACATAAAGAAAAGAATTCGTTTGAAGTTTATGTGAGATAGATCGTAAAATTGTTGATGAGAGAGAAAGAGAGAGACATCCGACAATCAGTTAAGAAAAATAATAGTAGAGGAGTTAAGATTACCTCCGATCGGGGCCAATAATAAGAATATGCATACGCCAGAAGGCGTAGGAATGAGCTGGCATTTTATTTGAGTCCGGCTGTTTTTGGTTCCTGTTAAAACTGTACTTCACGATAAATTTGAAATTTTAGCACTCCATTGCAAATTAGGAATCAATTTAATACTAGTATTTGTGAGTATTTTTTTTTTTTTTTTTTTTTGGTGGAAACTCAGGTGTTGTTTGGTAAAATCAAAATAGAGTACTAACAATTTTGAGAGTTAAATTGTAAGTATTTATTGTAAATTGATGACTTATTTGATAATTATTTTAAGTTTTAACGTATTCATTAATTTCCCACTTAAAATGCTACTTATTTTAATAAATTAATACCAAATAAGATTATCAAATCCCATTCATTAGATAATTACTTAATCAATTTAAAATAAAATTCTAATTTGATTATCAAAAATTATTCAACTCACTTGAATTTTTATCTCATTTTATGTAAGATTTATTATTATTTTTAAGTAATATTTAAATTTTCTTATCAAACACATTAAATTAAATAATCACTTCTTTAGATTTGAATATTAAAGAATCAATTATAAAATAAATACATATTTCGTATTTTTTAAAAATTCATGATTTAAGTGTTGGTAGTAATAGCCGGTGTTGAAAGTTTGAATATTGTTTTAGTAAAAGGTGATAACACAAGTGTATGACTAGTTGGAATAATGACTAAAAAAAGTGAGGGTGAAATTGTTAAAATTAATCAAACATATAGAAAAACTAACAATAAGGTGAGGTAATAATGAATAGGGGTAGCATTAGAATCAAGATCCTCTCTTATACACACACCACCTTGTATTGACATGCAATATTCAATTACTTTTATATCCCAATTTAACGTTCTTGTGTTTTTGATATAATGATGAGCATATGCGTAGTTACGCGTTTGGTAATATATTATATAAAATATCTTTTTATGGTTGAAGTATTTTTAAATTTATTTGGTAATAATGTTACTTAAAACACTTTTATTATTAATTTTACTTTATTACCTCTATCGTGGATCCACGTAATATAATAATTTACTTTTTATAAGTTCACTGCAAAAAATGTTAAATTGATAATGTTATAAAAAAAAAATATTACTTTAACTTTTTAAATGATACATTTATTTTGAAACATTCAAAATTAAAAAAATAAACATTTAATTTGGAAAGAGAGAGTATAATTTTGACATTTCAATCCGAACTTTCATAAATCCATAAAACACACCTTTGAGGATTCTAAAACACACAATAATTGTATGGTGCTAATGTATTAAATGCGATAATGAAAACCCCTATGAAAATGGATTTTTGTATAATTTTTTTCCTTCAAGCTTGATTAATTGTATTGACCTTATTAAGATGCGTTTATGTCGATAAAGAGGAGACGTGGCCTACCCTTTTTTAAATATCTTAAATGTAAACTATGATTTGACTACACAAAAGTCGAAAAGCATATCGCAATTATAACATATCTCATATTTCCATGTTTATTATTTTTTTATTATTATTTTTTTTTACGATAAAGGGTACCATACTTTCTACATATTAATGATCACAGCCAAAATAATTTTAATTTCGTTGACTTTTGATTTTGGAACGTGGAACCCTTCTTATGGGGTTTAGTTGTTGAGTATGGACTAATCAATAATAATACCTTAAGGCATAATCTTACAATCATATTTGTTTCTTTATTTAGTTTGTTTCGATTTAAAATATTTTTTTTTTAAAAAAAAAATTTTCAAATAAAATATTTTTTTTATTTTTGTTTTTTTGGTATTCGGCAAAAACAGTCGAGTCCATCATTTAGGACATGTAAAATAATTTACTAAAAATTTATGAGTAAATTATTTTTGTGAGTGTTTAATATTTTTTTATTCGTAAATATTTCACGACAACCAAACAGTTAAAAAAATATTTTTTAAAAAATATTTTACATCTAAACAATCGAAGTCTTGATTATGCATAATAATTTTAGAGAGATGATAGTCACTCTCCTCTTTTTTATACTATTACACATTATTTACACTCACTTCTCTTTTTATTTTAACGAAATGTTAAGAACTTAAATGAATTCATTAATGTTTCTTAAATGTAGTTATAACTTATAACATTTATAAAAAATTAAAAATGTTTCTTGTTTTATGACAATACCATCTTTTCATAAAGGTTTGGTCCATTAAATCAGGTAATTTGATTTGTTCATGGGCCGGGCTTGTACTTTGTCCTTAGTTTTGCTCATTTTCTGGGCTTGTATTGTCACCTTCATTTCTGGGGTTTCGGCCGAAGACCCATTGTATAATCTTCTCATTTTTTAAACAGTTGCCTAATCTTCCAGGAAAAATACACACACACACACACACACATTATATACTCTCTCTCTTAAATCTTACCCAAAAAAAAAAAAAAGGTTTAAGATTGGAGAGTGAGCGACGAAAACGTTAAAGAAAAATTAATTATATAGTTATAAAGTTAAGGTTAAAAATATTATTTCATTTAAAATTGAAGTACAATGGTAAAAAAAAAATGAGACTACCGATATGATTTCCTATTTTATAATTTTTTTTTTTCATCTTTAACTTAATTTCTATAAATTTGAGTTTTGTCGGTTATAAATGAAGTTCTTTTAATGAGAAATATTAAAGCCGTAATGAAGCCGGAAAGTACAACTATGATACTATGTTTGATTACAAGGAAGACTGGAAGTGGTACATTCCTTGTACTTGTAATCGAATTTTGAAAAATTATTAATATAATATATATATAACAGAGAAAAACAAAATATCAAATCTAAGGTAAAAAATAAAAAATAAATAAATAAATAAACAATTGAACAAAACATAGCCAATAAGACAAGGCTAAGTTAGGGGTGGACATGGTTTAATTTGGATCGGTTTGAGAGTTTTTTGAAACCAAACAATTCTTAACTGTTTCAAAAAATATAAAACTAAACCGAACCATTTGACCATAGAAATTGGACCAAATCAAACCGTGAAACACTGGTTTAATTCGATTTGATTCAACGGTTCCTCTTCTTTTGTATTTATATATTTATTTTGTTGCATAAATATTCATATTTAAAAATTCAAATGCACAACAATAAACTAAGTTAACCGACTCATACAAAATTGCTAATACATTCACTTCTAAAATTTAAGTTATACGTTCAAAATTGCTAATATAATTTAAGTCAAAACGTTCAAAATTGCTAATATATTTATTCTTCTTTGTCACTTCTAGAACTAAAACAAATTAGTAAACACCTTTATAACGGCTAATAGTCTAATACATTTACAACTACTAATTCAATAACAAATACCACGATTCAAAAAACTAACAACATTCAGCCGTTGTAAAATTATATTATACTATATGTACAGTTTAATATATATATATATATATATATATAAAACTTAGCGGTTCCATTTTAAAGAAGTTCAAAATGTGACTCAATTGTATTTTTACGATTACAAATCTAATCAAACCAATAGTAAATCGAACCAAACTGTCTGTCCGATTTGGATTTTCGATTTGACCAAATTTTGTGCACCCGTAGGTTAAAAAAAAATTCCTAATACAGAAAAATAAAAATGAAATGTTTGAAATTCAAAACAATAGAATTTGATTATAAAAAATAAAAAAGAAAAGAAAAGAAAAGAAAAAACAACGTATATTAGAAATAATATAATTCGTGAGTTTTAATCGGGACCTGATTTGGATGGAAAATGAATCTTTTCCAAATCAAAATTCGTACGAAAATGTGTCAAACTGCCCTTTTGGCAATTCCGTGATTCAAAGTTTCAAACACGGTCTCCAGAGTATACGTCAGAATGTGCCTCAAAATCTGTGTACTATTTCCCTTCCCTGTTCAAACTAATCACAACTTACATGGACATATACATACTCCTATATATATATATATATACACACACACATATAAAGACACAGAATGCTTTGTAATGACATACAGCTCAAACGGGGAAAGCTGTTGCGCAACAAACAATAATGGTCTAAAAAGAATGGCCGTTTGGATTTTGCTCCAAGTCCATACAAACCATATAAAGGACGTCTGTTGCATCTAAAAGCAAGTTGGTACCAGAAAACCAGAAAACTAGAAACCAATTACATCTTTTTAAGCCCACAGTAGTAACCATCATCTGTCACCAATCTTCTTACGTGTGTATACCTCACCAAGGAGCAGTATCAGAAATTGTACTAACCAATCCATGTGCAACTTAAACAGATTGCTCTGACATTAAAGGTGAAAACTTTGTAAATATCACCACCAAATGGAAAAGTTGAAGCTATCCTTTCCACTTATATAAACACCATCTCTTTATATTTCAAACCAAACAGTCCCAGACTCCCAATCTCAATTCAAAGCACAAAACCCAGAAAACCCAATTCATCATATCAAACAATATACAAATATATATAGAGAGAGAGAGAGAATGTGTTTGTTGGTGTATGTGTGTGAAGAAGAGGAGAGAGAGTTGGGGAGAAAACAAGCGCCGGGGGCATGTCCATACTGTGGAGGGAAGGTGGAAGCTGTGGATGGTGAGAGTCGGTGGAGGCTTTGGTGTATGCTAATTTGCTCCAAGATCAAGAGGAAGTACTTCTGTACTCTATGCAACAGACGTCTGGTTCTGTATATGTAGATGCCAAAAGCCAGAGTATATCAACGCCATAATCTGTTTTTGTTTTGTACTAATAGATAGGACTTTCAATTTTCATCTGTATGTTTGATGTTTGGCGAGTATTCACTTCTTTTGATCTGAAATTCAGAAGGGTAGCAATTCAAATGCTGTTCAGATGATTCAATCTCATGTAGCTATGTGTGGTGTTTATTTGTGTCTTTGTCAATCATGAATATCAGGACTATTTTTTATTTATTTATTATTATTTTCATTTTTCTTTTTTTACTTTTTTTTCCTTTGGCTTGGCATGGAATATTCGAATTGTTAGAGACCTTCGCATTATTATACACATATTTATATACTAAATTCTTTCACGAGGAAGGATTTATGAATTAATTGAATTCTATTGAAACTTTAGTATCTGATGACCACTTAATATTTTTTTTTCCCGAATGTAGAAAATTCACTTGATAAAAAAAGGGTTTTATGGAATTAATTGAATCATTATTTGTAGGAAAAATTGAAACTTCAGTACTTAATGACCACGTTTTTTTATTTTATTTTTATTGCATATAATTCACTTTGTAAAATACCCTCAGAAGAATTTAGTATATAATAAAGGTCATGTGCAACTATGTTGTCCTAGTGGTAAAGTATACAGATTGATTAACGAGTTATGCCTTTATTTATGCCTTTTATTGTATTTTTATATATTGCATAAGGAACGAGTTATTTTGAATCTATAAAAATAAGGGATAAATTTTAAAAAATCTGATATTGTATTAAATAATTGAATAATGATTCTGATCTCTATATTATATATATTTATAATGAAAGAAAATTTTAATCCATAAAGAAACTAACTACAACACAAACACAAATCCTTATAACATAAAAAACTTAATCTCGAAATGATACTAATAGTAAAAAATAAAATTTTAAAGGGCTTACTTGATTTATAATTATGAAAACAATTTTCTATCCTTTTAAAACTGAAAATAAAAATATCTGGGAACAATTTTCTGAATTCTTGAAAACTGTTCTCAGAGTTATAAACTAAGTAAAAAGTTTATCTAAAATTTTTATGAAAAAAACAGAAAAAAAATCTTATAATAAAATTATTAAATATAAAATATGAGTGCAATTTGAATTCGGTCAGATAATTAATAAAAATTCAAAATATTCAAGGGGCTTCCTATGGAACAGAAAAACCTAACATAATAGTGTGTCTTACTTATTGGCCGTTTTCAGTAAAAAGAAAAAAATTCCTATCGGCTTAAAAACGGGCACTTTGAGATCAACCCAAAAAATTTATCAGCAAAATCGTTTGGCCCGACGGTCCAAACCGGACATAATGTTTTCTGACAATCAAATTAGAGAAACTTTTGCATGTGAACAATGTCAGGAACCTTTATGTGGTGCATTTGACTGTTCCACCTAAAGATGCTTTTGCCAAATTCGGGTTTGTTTTGTCTTGATCGTAAAAGCCAGTAATTGAAACTTCACCATCTGGTTTGCTGTAACCTTCTGTAGTTTAAAATTCAAACTGGATAATAACTCAACAGTTCAAAGCTTTGGGACCAACTATTTAACTCTGTGTCAAGTGTTTCCGAGAAGGATTGATCCACTTAAAGCACTAGCTAATAAATAAAGCAATTGTCGAAAATTTCAACTTAATAATTTGAGTTAGTCTACTAATTTTATAAGATCTTACTAAGCTCATTATTATTAAAATAATTATTATTATTTGTTAGTCGAATTCAACAATTACCGAATTCAAATATGTGAGTGGGGTGGTGTTTTTTTAATTCTTTTTTCTAAAAATTCAAGCAATTGTATAGATATAAAGGTTTATTTATTTATTTTTTTTAATATTTGTATGGGCAAGTAATGTGTGAGTTCTTGCCAAGATAAAAAGAATAAGAATTTGTTTACAACACTTAAAGTGCACTTATATTTATTTTTTTTCGAGTTTGATGAAGAGGAATAATAAGATCGAGGTTGACTTAATTTCTACTATGATTTTTTTAACCTAACTTCAAAAATTTGAACAAGATTGAAATGGTGATGCACAAATAATCATTAGAACCCTAAAACATGACAGTGTTGGATCGTTTGAATCTGTATTTAAATATTAAATAACCGTACAGTCTTGCTTAAAGCGCTTCTACATGCATGTCCCCATTTTTTCGGGAAGGGGACAAGAATTGGCTCCAATGTCATTCGTTCATACACATAAGCCTCAACAACTTCAAATAACATAGGATGTCACAATATAAGCGTGTATATTCTATTATATAATAGAGTTATTCAAAATATAAATTATTATATAATATAGGGTAAAGTGCATTAAACCCCCCTGAATTATTAGGGTATGTGCAAGAAAACCCCCTGGACTATAAAAGTTACAAAAAAACCCCCCTGAACTATTGTGGTATGCGCGAGAAACCCCCCTGAACTATAAAAGTTACAAAAAACCCCTCTGAACTATTGGGGTATGTGCAAGAAACCCCCCTGAACTATATATTTTTTACAGTTTACCCCATCCGCGCGAATTGATTGACTGAAAGGGACGATAAAGCAGAGGAATTTGTGGCTGGGATCGGAGTGGTAGATGTCGTCTGAGGAGTGTTTGGATAAGCCAAGAAATCTGTTGCTGGGATCGGTGGGTCTCCTGTCATAGTTCCATCATAGCCGTTGCACCACCCGCCAGATTCGTCGGCCATATATATCACACTTCTCTGCACCATTGCGTCAGCCCATCGCCGTCACCGCCTTGCCTGCCGTTCAGCTCACCTTGCTCGCCGGTCCATTCCATCGTCAATTCCAAACTCGTCGGCCCATTCCGCCATCTCCATAGTCGAGCACACCGCCGTCTGTGTTTTGAGCACACAGTCGTCCACAGTTCACCACCGAGCCCCCTTGAGCTCGCTGCCGCCTCCACAGTTCACGGTTGAGTCAACCGAATTCTCATCACAGCCAAGTCCTCTGCGCACAAGCCCCCATCATCCGAGACCGAGCCATCCCGCCGACCTCGGATTTCTTTGGTCTCCTCTCTCTAGCTCTCTGTTTTGGGTTGTGTTGGGTGAAAAACATCTTTTGGCAGAAAAAAAAAATGTAAGAAGTGTATAAGTTAAAACAACGCGGTGTGTTATAAGGGTAAACTGGTCTTTCAAAATTTTCGGTGCCAGAAGCTGATGTCATGGGGGTAAATTGCAACAAAATCATAGTTCAGGGGGATAAATTACAACAAAATCATAGTTCAGGGGGGTTTTTTGTAATTCAGGGGGGTTTCTTGCAAATGACCAATAGTTCAATGGGGTAAATTGCAACAAAATCATAGTTCAGGGGTTTTTTTTGTAGTTCAGAGGGGGTTTCTTGCAAATGACCAATAGTTCAAGGGGGTAAATTGCAACAAAATCATAGTTTATGGGGTTTTTTTTGTAGTTCAGGGGGGTTTCTTGCAAATGACCAATAGTTCAAGGGGGTTTAATGCACTTTACCCTATAATGTAATACATAGAATCATCATATATATAATTTAAATTTAAATTTTTTATTGTATTGGTATAAGTATATACAGGAAAGTTCAAAAATTGTAGAATTGAATTAAATCAAACAGGTCACTTCACTATGGTTCCTGTTGGAGAATTTGCACTTAAATTACAAGACTAATAATATGACACATCAAATTTGTATTCATAGAAAATGAATAATATGTCAACATGAAGGAACAAAATTTCATTAATCATGAATAGTACATCAAATTGAACAAGACATGAATATAACATAATTCATAGAATTTACCAATACAAATGAACTCAATTATATAATATTATTTAATACGGTCTCTCTACGTGCAGGTACTAACGGACCATTACGGCTCCAAAATACAACTCACATCCGTCAGTGGTCTTCTATGGGCTCATCCACAGAAAGACAATATTGTACCAATCTTGTGTCGAAGTTACCTAAACACATTATAAGTATACATATAGAAATATGGAGATAGACAGATTGAGATAGTTAGAAAAGAGCCTCACACACATCACTCAAGTGCGTCAACTACTTTGTTTTGTCTAGATTCCCTTGAACTATGTTTGAATTTACAAATACCCCTCTAAACTATCATATTATGTTGTAAAATACCTCAACGCCTATATTATATTTTATTAGATGATCATAATGTCACTTTTTATTAAATTACACTTAATCTATTTTTTTTTACTTAAATAATTATGAAAAAAAATTCATATTAATTTAATGACATAGTCTTCATTAAATTTGAATAAATTTACCTTAAATTTTTTAAATTAATTGTTTAAATATAAATCTTTAGTAGAAAATAAAAAAATATTTTTAAAATTTTTAATGAATATATTTCATGAAAAGAAGGTATCTTTTATTTAAGTAATTTATTAATTTTTTTTATCAATATATTGTGTGAAAAAAAATATTTTTCTATAGTAAAAAAATTTAAACTAGTTATAATAAGTTTTATTATAAATAATAAATTTTAATAATAATTTAATCATTTTAGAAAATGGTAGTTACAAATCTATATATCTTTCTTTTCTTTTTCTTTTTTCATTTTTATGATATATTGTTACTAATAATAAAATTAAGGTAAATAGTATAATTAATATTTAGATAAGAGAAAAGATAATAAAAATAATTTAATAAGAAATGAAAATTTTAATGAGAGAGGATAAAATAATCTTTTGTGATGAGTTTGTCCTTAATTTTAATAAATCAATAATTCAATGAGACAATTTTTAGTTTAAGGAGTTTATTTGCAAAAGCCAATAGTTCAATAGAATTTTTTTGCGCTTTACCTGACTTTATATAAGAATCTACAACTTCATATTGCTGGAGAATTTACACTTAAATTACAAGACTACCAATATAACACATTAGATATCTATTCATATAAAATGAATAATACATCAACATGAATCAACAAAACTTTCATTAATCAAGACACGAATATAACATAATTCATAGAATTCAACCATACAATTGAACTCAATTATATAATATTATTTGATAGCAAAAATTAATAAAAGAATACAACAATAATAAAATAGATAAAAAAGAATTAACCAGTATAATGAAAGGCATGTAAACACTGTCTTAAAGTCACACGACAAGTGCTAACAAGCCATTACGATTCCAAAATATAATTCATATCCGCCGCTAGTCTTCTATAAATACGTTTGCTGGGAGAATACAACTCATATCTTCTGTTTTGTTTTCTATCCAAATGCATTGGAATTCTTGTTTTGTCTTGCCTAAGAAAGTCATTAAGGAGGTCAATGATGCGATGATGACCTTCTTGTGGTCTGGTACTGAGGTGTTTACTAAGGGTGCTAAAGTGGCTTGGGACATCGGATTGTATAAAGAAAACACAGCCTCACACACATCACACAAGTGTGTAAAATTGTGTGAGTGAGGGTGATAGTGTAACTTTCTTAAAAAAAGAAAAATTTAGTCGGGGTAAATACATATTCCGTTCCTAAATTTACGAATATGGTATGAAACCTCCTTTTATACAGTAAATACTCCTA